TTGCGGATCGCTTTTACTTCAACTGGTTTAATCACAACCAAATTTATTGATATATCGAACCATGATTGAACCATTTCATTGGTGATATATTAACTAGCTGTAAACCTGCTATCATATCTAAAACCTTAACGAGCCGTAAACCTGCTATCATATTTACGAGCTAAGAATTCGGAGCTGTTAGTTTCATAATGATGGAACAATTATGTCAATTATGCATTTTTCACCACAAGTCCCTAGAAATTTTCGGCTGGTAATACAATCTGCTAATTTTTGGCTGGCTCATACTTCGGGTGGCTTATTTAAACTCCATTTCATTAATCTTGGTTGAATTTCTCTCTGATGAAACCAGGGGCGGATGTAGGATTTTCTCGAGGGGGGTGGCAGATTTTCAAAAAATTTCAAAAATTTTGTCCACCTTTTTTTTAAATCAGGCTAAATTTTGAATAAGCAGGTCAAAAAAAGCGTTTTTAGGCACTTTTTGGGAAAATTTTGACCAGAAAGTTGCCTTTTTTTGGCGCGCGCTTCCCCCTCAAAATTTGTATATTTTGGCACCAAAGGCGCCTTCGGAACATTTTTAGGGTCCGTCACCAAAAATGGATTTTTCAAAATAGTACAAAGGGGGACCCTTTGGGTCGGTAGGGGTCAATCCCTGAAGAGAAAGGCATCCGCCTCAACCCCCCTTCCACCCCCCCCCCTAAATCCGCCCCCAGATGAAACAACGCGATATAAAGTTGGCTTTCTGTTATTAAAACGGTTTCTTTTTTTAAAGAAAAATAGTGCGTGCGAAACTCCTGCTAATTATTCGGCCGTGCTGGGTTTATTTTGACGTGTACTGAGTTTATTTTGATGTCAAGAAAACGAAGGCAAAGTTGGGGAAATTAAAAGAGAGTTTAATGAGGTGCAGTATAATGCAAGGATTCAATTGCGTTTGGAACAAACTTCTAGGACACTACGTACAAACATTGGCATGTACTCAATTGTTGAATTAGTTATTTAGAGGCTTGGATATTCTTTAATAGGTACCATTATACACTTAGAAGGAAATAGCTAGAAAGATCTGCCGAGGCATACTAGAGGTAACAGCAACAAAACCTACAAGTAAACACTACTAGTTGAAAAGCAGTTTACGAAATAATTTTGTTTCCCAGGTTTTGTACCGGATGTGATGACTCATTATTCCGTCTCCTCGGAAGATTCGACGCAGCAGTGTGGCATATCAACCGATGTGTGGTTCCGAATATTCTCGAGCAGCTCTTCCTTCTACGTCCCACTCATAGTGATGCTTTTCACCTACACGAAGGTCAGTTCAAACATGGCCAGGTTGAGAAAAAAACATAAAAAAGATGGATATAATTTAAATTTCTTTTTTTTTCAGGTTGAGAAAAAAAATGATGGATATATTTTAAATTTCTTTTTTTTTCAGGTTGAGAAAAAAAATGATGGATATATTTTAATTTTTTTTTTATCAGGTTGAGAAAAAAAATGATAGATATACGTTAAATTTCTTTTTTTTTCAGGTTGAGAAAAAAAATGATGGATATATTTTAAATTCCTTTTTTTTCTTACGCGCTGCGAGCCTTACACAACATTTTTAACAGGAATAATCCAGAAGTAACTGTGAACAAGTCATCAGAACAATGAAAGTTAAACTTCGAATATATATTGAGAGCAACAAAAAAAAACATTTTTCTTGTATCATCCGTCTCCCGAAAACAACTATGAACTATGACCATTTAACCTCATTACCATTGGACTACGTGAACAGAACGTTTTCATGAGTGGGGGGAAAAATGTTCCTTTAATCAACATAGTTTATAATTGTTTCAATAAAGCAAGACTGCTAGTGTTAAGGACAAAAACCTGGCTGTTCGATCGACCCTGTATTTTGTATTTTGTTTAAAAATCGAATATGAAAATTATTTCTGAATGATGAAAACTTTCGCAGCAAAACTTCGAGAGCCCCGTATGACTTCCATTTCTGACCTATCTTAATTAGCCCATATTATTTAGGTTTTAAACTCACAGCAGTAAACACTTTGCATCCAATCAATTTCATATTTGCTTCTTTTCTTTTTTGCAATTTTAGATCAATTTTCACAAAATTATTGATTTAACAATCCTATTAACTAAAACGAGTAAAAATTAATTAAAATGAAAATTCAAGTAGGAATGCTCGCACTCAGTGCTGTAAAGATCTTGATCAAGATATTACAGAAATGGGGAAAAACGATTAGCTATATCTTTTCTGGCAGAAAACAGATGATCGCGATAATATCAAACTACATTTAGCTAAGAGGAAAAAATGCAGCAGATTATTGGAAGATTATGGTCTGAACGTCTTTTTTGCGTAAAGTTACATCTATTATCAAACAATGAATGTTCCAACTGCCTTTCAAGGTCTATGGAGCAGCAATACCATGAAAAAATTAAATGTAATAAAATAAAACTAAAATTAAAAAAAAAATTGAGATTTGTCGTAAAAATCATCACACCACACGCCATATAAAATACAAAATGATAAACTTCGCTCCTATTACCAAATAAATTACGAAAGTCGGAACTACAAGGCGTTTTCGGAACAGTACATCAAAGTTTTCTCAGATGGTTAAATCAAAATAGTCACAAACATGATCTGTTTTGAGTGTCAGTTTAATTTTTGAAAGTCAGTTTAATATTAGAGGTCTGTCGTTTAGTTTTAGGAATCGTTTTTTTTTGGAAACTAAAATAATTGGAAGTCAGCTTGGAAGTCAGTTTGATTTTGATAGTCGGGTCAATTTTAGAAATCAGTTTAATTTAAGAACTCAGCTCAGCTTGGGAACTTAGTTCTATTAAGGAATTCAGTTAAAATTTTCATTTCATCTTAATTTGCCAAGTGATTTTAATTTTGGAGGTCAGTTTGATTTCGGAGGTCAGTTTAGTTTTTGTAGTCAGTTTAATTATCTACCATCGGCTGAGTTTTGGAAATCATTTCAATATAGGAAGGCATTTCAGTTGTGGAAGTCAGTTTAATTTACGAAGGACAACTTAATTTTGGAAGTCATTTTAATATTGGAAGTCAGTATAAATTTGAAAATTAGTTTGACTTCGGAAGTCAGTTCAGTTTTAGAAGCCAGTTAAATTTTCGAAGGACGGCTTACTTTTGTAAGCCATTTAATGATAGGAAGTCAATGTAGTTTTGGAAGTCAGTTCGATTTCGGAAGTCAATTTAATTAGTGCAATTAAATAGTACAAATGGTACTATGTGCAATTAAATAGCACAAGTGAAGTGAGGCTATAACAGGTCTGTGATGCCCTTAGATGTCCTGGACTGCACGCGCGCTACACTGGTGAATTTAAATTGAGGGATAACCTTGGCCTATATGGAAGTCAGTCTAGTTTAAATGAAGTCAGTTATTTTGGAAGCCAAGGTAAATTTTGGAAGTCAGTTTAACTTTGAGAGTTAATTTAAAGGTTTTCGGGTGAAATCGTTTTCTTAGGTGACTGTTGACATAAAAGTAGTATTATGATTGACTTTCAAGTTAGCCTACACACTTTCAAGTTAGCCTATGTGAATAACAGGCTTTTGTTATAGCCTAAGTTAACAGGCTTTTGTTTTAAGTTCTTAACAAAATTCAAGAAGACTTAACGACCTCAAAAAAATTAACTTTTTTAGTTTGGAAGTCAGATCTCTTTAAAATCAATCTTGTACTATTCTTAAAATGTTTCATGGCCGCCATCTAAAAGTATAATATACCTAAATTTTTTTAATCCTTTCTAGTTCATATTTCTCTGATTTTTTGCACCTGTTGGTACCAGTTAAGCTCCTGACTTTTTTGTTTCATGTTTTCTTTGCAACAATTTAAGCAGCCTGCTCATTTTTAATACTTTATTTGTTTTTTGAAGCATCAAACGTTTCCTAAATGATTAAGATCTTTTTGAGTTCAAATTACGGACAAAAACAAATTTGAAAAAAAAGGAAAAAGAAATCAATGTTTTTATCTGCAGACTAGAAAGAAGACTGATTTCTGTAAATTATAAATAATTAACGAGTTAACGCGTCTGAGATCTTCAGGATTGTATCCTAATCCAAACTAATCTTAGTTTGATTGAGACTGAATTCCAAATTGTTTCCCTCCGGGGCAACTCGACCGATAAAGGGTAATGAAAAAAGGCAATTACATTGTAACCCTTCATTGACCAAATAATTTGCGCGCACCAAACCAAGTTGAACATTCGCTTGAGGTTTTTGCGCCCGAAAGAAAACAACGCGCAACGCGATTGATAAAATCCTCCAAGTTTGTCGGAATTGTTTTTTGGATTTACTCTCGAATCTTTTTTGGACTTTTCTCTTTTTAAATATTTTTTTCCAGCAGCGCAGAAAAATATTAGCAAAAATTAGTCGTTCTGAAAATATCGGTGAACTCAAAAACTCAATTTCTTTTATCTAATCTTGGCGAGATTTGCATGAACACATTAAAATAAGAAAAATAAACAACACTAAGAAGCATTAAAAAGAAGTTCTTTTTTATGAGGTACTAAAAGAAGTTATTCACAAAAAATAGTCCAATTCAGCCGTTGAAAACAAATTTTAGAACAAAATACACCAAGTCATCAAATATTCGTCTTGAATAAATTAAATGTTTTTGATGCACTAAAAACTCTACTTTTTGGCCATAAGTTTTTTTTTTAATCTTGGAACAATTATGTTCTCAGAAGTTGCCCATTCCTTTTTAGTTTGTTGCACAATTGAGCAAGTTCGCAGGATTTAAGTATTTTGCAAATAATGATTCATTGATCAACTTGTTTTATATGTCTAATCTTTGAGTTTTTGACTTTAGTGTTTTTATGAACCACAACGAGAAAGTATAAACAACCTTTTGTTTCTTTGATTTTGATGAACTGCTTCAAAATTTTCAAGCCCACTCATTTTTCCTCGGGTAAAAAACTGAATTTCACATAATGAAAAGTCGACTCCTTATCAGTAGTGTTTTTGAGCAAATTAATGTGAAATGAATAGGTTCAACCTATTCATTTCACATTAATTAGGTTGAAAAAAAAACATTTAGCCTCGCAAAAACAATTTTAGGCAACAAAGAACCGGAATTAATTTTATTTGAGATTGCTACCTCAAATTTCATGAACCTTAAAAAGACCAGAAAAATTTATTATCATATTTTCAAATCATGCCTACTAAAGTATTATTTTTGCGAAATTTTAATCAAAAAACAAAATAAAATGGCGCAGTAAGAGAAAAATAAGGGACTTAACAGTTGATTGGGAAACGAACCATTCTACAAAATTATATCGAACAATGCTTTTGCATTAGGCTGGCGTAAAACTTATTTTGAAACTAGATACCTTCAAATCACATTTCCAACGAGTGACTTTCAAAAAAATTTTAGTCCAAATTCTAAAACTTTGTCTTGCTCACAATCTACTTAACTGAAAAGATTGTAAGTCAGGGCAAAGCCCTGAATATTCCGTCTGTCCCCTAATCAATATTAACTAGCTGTTGTTAAAAAAAATACCAAAATTATTTAAACTTGGGGCAAAAGGTTCGAAACTAATACGACCGAATGGCTTGCCTCAATTCAGTTTGGAAAAATTTTTCGGTCGTTTTGCATGTTTAAAATTGAACTCAGGTAGTCAATTCTTTAATGGGGCAGTTTTTTATGTAATTTTTTTTTCAATCACTGAAAAAAAGCACACCAAACATAAATTTTCGGCATTTCTTCAAAAGTCAAAAACAAAATTTCTCCGAAAATTTCTTCAGAACAAAAAAATTCCGGCAACAAACTAGTGAATGATTTTCTGTCTCAACTTAAGAAGCAACAAAAGCCACCAACAATTTTATGATAAAATAGAAACCAGACTGTCCGGACTACCTTTTAACGTCTATGGAGCAGTAAAAACATGAAAAATTTAAACGTAATAGAAAAAAAATGATTTGACATTTTTTTGTAAAAACATCCCCCATACGTCATTTTAACTGCAAAGTGATTGTCTTTGCTCCTATTAACAATTAATTTTAGCATATAAGCTTCCTCGAACCAATTTGGAACGATTTCTAACACAGATTAAATCTCCGCTCACGCGTTAATAGCGCAAAATATATCGCACGTTATTTGTCCCAAATTGGCAATTTTTAAACCCCAATAGCTTTACAAAAATTAATCACAGGTGAAATATTTTTTCAAATTCAAGCTCAAGGCAGCAATAGTTTTCGAATAATTAAAAAAAATTGTCAAAATTGGCTACATAAAAGGTCGAAATTTGTCCGAAGAAAAAACCCACCCCGAGCAAAAAGTATTCCGTTACTTTCGTTACGAAGGGCGGAACAACAAACACAACAAGACGAATTAGTAGATTCAATTGACCTTTTCCTTGTCATTTTCTAAAAGATCTGTTCGTTAAAAATAGCTCAAACATTTATTTATTGGTCTTCTTTTGATGAAACTCAATTGATACAATAGCAAAGCAAATGGTTTTATGAACCGAACTCTTGAGGCGCAAAAGCTTTTCAAACAAATTCAAAGAATGAGGAAATGCCTATAATAGAGTTCCATAATATTCTGCAAATATTAAGTTTGTATAAATCTTGTGTCAGCAGCTTTTTTTATTAAAAGCGGAACTAAATATTTATTCTTTTTCCATCAATCACAAATAAAACAAATTTCGGAGACTTTTTTTAATTGAACGAACAAATTAGTTTCGTATCTTTTCAATTTGATGCAATTTTGCTCAGCTTTTGAACAATGTTAACTTCATCTTGATTATTGCTAATCTGGAAAAGTATCTGAACTGTATTTAGTGTTTAGACTCATTTTTACGATTTATGACAGGTAATTAAGTCCTGAGCGCAAAATTAAAAAGATAATTATCCTGTGACAATTTTTTGGAATGTTAAAAGGATTTGATTGCCAATTTAGTCGAACTGAGAAAGTGAGCGCCCAATTTATTTCGTGCTTTTGAAGTTTAAGCGGTTAAAAAAGCATTTCAATTCAAATCGAATCAACCAATTTGTACTTTTCATGTTACCAGCATCAAAAGCTATCTATTTGTACATAGATTGCGGGACGAATTAAATAAAAAAATAGATTTTTTTTCGGTATTAAAATTTTTTTAAAAAAAACGTCAACAAAAAAAGGGCAGTCGGAATATTCAGGTCTTGTTTAAGTATACTTTAGCAATCAAGAATACAAACACTTATGACTTATCAAAAGACTCAAAGAATTTTTTTTGTGATAATTGCTACACCTGGACTATGTTATCAAAAACATTTCATAAAAAATTGTTTTGATGAAATCAGAGGCGGATTTAAAGGGCATGGGTGGACGCTCTATTTTTATTTGGACGCTCTTTTTTTGACGCCCTCAACATCCAAAGGGTCTTCCCTATGATATTTTATTACATCCATTTTTGGCCGTAATAACTTAAGCTTTGTAAAGGGCACCTTGGGCGCCAATTTACACTTTTCTTAAAAAGAGTATGCGCCAAAAAAGGTATTTATTGGTCGAAAATGTCCCAAAAACGCTTGCGCGCAGAAATTTTTGTCAAATCAAAACAGGGTCTTAATTGTGTTTTAAAAGAGCTCGTACAATTATTTTTTTCGACCTAAGAAAACGTACGTTTCAAAAATGCTCGCAAATTTATTCTGGTTGACCTAAAAAGGATAAACCAACCCCCCCTCCCTGTTGTTTAGACCCCCCTGTTGAAACTGTTGTTTAGACACAGAATGAAAATTTTTTGCGAGCAAAAAAATATCCCTGTATGTTTCTATCGAACCTGGTCCAATTTATTAGCGAATGATTGTCGCTTTTTTGATGGGAAAATAGTTATAAAGTACGCAACAAAACGTAAGCAATTGTCGGAATTTGTAATCCCAATAATTTAAATTTTTTTTAACCGTTCTGGTGTTTTTCTATAAATGTTGAATACATCTAAAATTTTAAACACTTTTTAATTAGCTCTGTAGGGCAATTGTTTTTTTTTTACTACTTTTGCTTGATTAAAATTATATAGGCAAAAGCAAATCGTAACGATTTTCACTTGTTCTTCTCTTTTTCGGACGTTTTTTTTTTCAAATTCAAAGGCTTGGCAAACATCAACAAGCATTACTGTTTTGACGATTCTTGGTTTAGAACACTTTCTTACAAATCCATTTTAATTGGCTCTTAATTTTTTAACATAATGGAAAACAGGGATGAGTTAAAATCAAAACAAATTATGACTTTTTACTTATTATTATGACGAGTATGTTAACTTGAACCAAAAGCCGCCATAAGAAATGCGCGGTTTTGTAGAGTTTTTTCAAGCAAGGTTTGAGCGTTTATTAAAGCCCATCAAACCGTTAATACCTTGTTGGAGAACCGCTCAAACCTTCCATACCTTGAGCGGTTTTTGAACGTTATCTCGACGCCAATTGTGGAACGGCCCAATTTAAGTAGTCAGTTAAAAAGCATGTAGTTTTTTTTCCTTCAGGCCTTCGTTACTTCATTTTGGGCGCTCTTGAACGTCTCCATCTAGAGTTCACCATGAAATTTTTTTGATGTTCAGGGGCGTACAAACAAGGCCAGTGGCCTCTTGATGCTCCTAAGTAGGCTGCCGTAATCATTGGACTTCGTTGAGTTAATGCTATGAACTTGCACAATATGATTTAACTTCTTAGTGCTTTTACGAATATAATAAAAAAATTAATTTAAAAAATCGTGATTCAGATCTTCGCCGCTGCCAAGAAACAACAGAGGGCAATTAAGCGGCAAAACAAAAGTTACACTTCGATGATGAGTCATTCTTCAGTTTGCCTGAGTGATCAGACTGACACGGATAATGATTCAAGGCCAAATGCCAACAAGCCCAGATTATCCTCAAATAGCAATGCATCTGAGCGACAGACGGATGACAGAACAGATCAGTTCACAAACTCAAACACCTCAATTTCGAGAAACAAGTAAGTTATGAATTTAACGAAACTTGTTTACTTGCCTCTCAATCAATAGGTCATTGGTTCGAGCCCTTCTTACCCCACAATGATGGATGTACCTGGTTTGCATCCAAATATTAATTATAATTAGGTCTAAGTATTAAAACAACAAGGGCTTTTCTGGGAGGTTGCAAAACGTAGCCTCTTTTTCAACTTTTTGTCGATCAGCATGGATTTATGCTGGCTCTCTATAAGTAATATGCTACTAACTGATCGATATTAAACTGCATCCTAATTTTAACTCATCGAAAAATAAAAAAAAAATAAAAAAACCATTGGCTCGAAATAAAAATCAAGTTCTCTATTTTACTTTTAATTTTTATCTGTTGTCCAGACATTCCTCCGAGCCATCCGATGGAACGACGCTGTATTCAAAACCAAGCCGAAAGAAATCCACAGTCGTTTTTGCATCATCCGGATACCCTTGCGGAAAGAACGGGACGACAACAAGCAGCACCCCGAGAACATCCATGACGCGTAAATTATCCACCGTGCCACAAAAACTGATGAGAGCGCGACGCAAATTCACGAGTCAAGCTTCAGAGCTGAAGGCGTTTCGGATTCTCTCGGTTGTCATGGGTGCATTCATAATCAACTGGCTGCCCTTTTTCGCCCTCTATGTGTTCGAGGGCATATGCACCCAGTGTATGATCCCTTTTTGGGTCATAACACTGGTTGTATGGCTCGGATACTTCAACAGGTTGGCTCAGATACCTTTTCACGTGTTTTTTAAATTAGTTTTGTTTTAGAAAGAGGTCCAACGCTTCACTAAAGTATCCACGCTTTTTGCTCAAAACTTCCTCAAAAAGGCTCAAAATCAAAAAAGCTTTCTGAATGTATCTGACAAAAACCCTCGAAAGTTTGAATGAATAACTCTTTAAGAGATGATGATGTCAACACTTCCCCCCCTCTCACCCTTTGTTTCACCTCTCCCCCTAATAGACTAATGATCAAGTTTCATCTTCTTTCGAAACAAACACTGTTAACGCTCGTAGTATTATCTCAATTTTTCATTTCAGTTCACTAAACCCCATCATCTACGTGTTCTGTAACAAACAGTTCCGACTCACGTTCGCCAAATTACTCACACCAGCCAGAGTGAGAAGACGAAGATCGAAAGAGAGAGACGATCACTTGCTAACAGACCATTACAGTGTTCAAATGCAACCGACTCCAATGGTCAACAAACACAACATAAAAAACAACAACTACCAGAAAAAGATCAGCAGCAGCAGCGGTGTTAACATCATCGCAGTCATGGCCAACAGCAATAACGGTACAAATAACAATACGAGTGAAACAAACATCGGAAATAACAACAAAAACAACAATAATAGCAACAACGGAACAAACAATCAGAACCCTAACATAACTAGTAGTTCCGCGATCGTCAATGGAAACTGCGAAATAAACAAAAACAACTACAAAACCAGAATCAACAACTCGCTAAACTATAGCGCCAATAGTAGCAATGATACAAATAACAATAATAAATACAAGAAGAACCCAGCGATTGGTTCGAGAATCGATAATTCCGATTGTGAAATTCGATTATCCGATAAAAGTAGCAACAATAATACTGATGATTGCAGTAGCACAATATGATTTCATGTCTTTTATTGTGCAGTTTATGAATTTTCTGGTCTAAAAAATGTCAGATGAACTCATAATCGATAATCTGAACTAACTTAAAAAATACTGGCAAAACTAGCAAAATTGCCCTCCTACTGCCTTGGTTGAGTAATTTCGGGCTAATATGAAAAAATTTTTGATCGGCTACAAAAATACCATGAAATGGTTTCGCTCCAATAACATTTCGCAATGCCAACCATATATGAGCTTTCAGAAGATTTGCTGCAATTAAGAAATCAAATGTGCTTTTGTTCAGGGTCAAATGTTGTGTCATGTTACGAAACTCGAATATATGATCTACCAAAGTAGATAAAATAACATACTTTTTGATGAACTGACCTGAATTTGAACTTTTTGTAAGATAGCTATGGTAGTTTAGACTAAAGTAAATTTATCAAAGTTATTTTAATTTTATTTCACGAACTATCTCTGAAATTCTAAATTTGATGATATCTCAATTGTATTTTTATAATTCATGCAAAAATTACAAGAGAAAAGCAGTGAAAACCAAGGAAATCAGAACACTTAAAAGAAGAACTGTCAAAAATTGGCTATAAGACAGCAAGTAAAAAGAACATTTTAAAAACAATCCGCTAAAATGATCCGCACATAGAAATCCTTTTCGGAACACAGTTTGGTAATTTTGAAAAATTTTCTTTTCGTCGCACACGTAAATACTGAACTCTAACTATTCAATTGACATCGATGTTCTCTAAAAAACTATCGAACTGCCTGACCTATGCAACTAATTTTTCATTTTGAAACTATTTTTCATAATCTGAAAGTTTTAAAAATGTTTGTTTTTCGCTGGTCAGCACACGGCTTAATTGTGGAACACCTCATTGCGCAAAAAAAATCATCGAAATCAATTTTCATTCTCGTCATTAAAACTGACCAAAAAACCGGCCAATGATCGTAATGAAACAACTCGCAAAACTCTACATCTGAAATTTTAATTAAGAGACATCATTCATTACTTGATAACTAACCGAAATAATTTGTTTGTTTTTACTAGCCCAGCAGCAAATGCTGATTTACATCATTAAAAAACTACAAAACCAGTTTGACAAATGATTTACGTCAAAGTACTTGATTTTTTTATGGTGAAAAATGTCAGTCAGCTTTTCCTCTACCTTTAAAGGAAGTAAATACTGAACCCCAAACGGAAATCGATAACTCACTCCTTTATCTAGAGAAGCGCCCCAAAATACTTGCTGTCTTTTTTTATTCACGCCCCATTAATTACCTTGCAGAGCACTGAAAAATTTAAAAGCAAAAGCCGCGCGATGAATATCGATCCTGCATGCTTTGTTTAGGGGAGCCTGGGGTCAATTTAAAAAGAAAAATTTGGTCTCCAGTTCTTTTAGACTACGCAACAAACTTGAAACTGCTCAAAAATGAGCGCTCCAGAACATTTAGAGCTCGATTGGGAACTTTTTACAGAATCGAAGCTGAGCTTTGCACCACTTGCGATACAAAATTGTACGATGAGTGCACTATGACGCTAAAAAAACTAGAAAACAGACTTTCTAACTGTGTTAAAATTAAGAATAAAGTGGAAAAATTAGAAAACAAAATTTTAAAAAAACATGTTTTTCTTTGCTTTTTTATGTTTGAATTGATTTAAGTTTTCGATGAAATTCTAGTGGTTTAAAGTTAGGCATTCAAAAAATTAGTGCAAGAGTCTTATTGATCCAAAAAGTACCACTGAACGTTTCGAGGAATCAAAAATTGGTAAATAAAAAGACATAATTAAAGCCGACATCCAATGAGCTGATTCGCAATCGCTATATAAGTAGCGTATGCAAGGAGTAGACTGCATGAATTGGAAACTAAACCAACCGACAGAGCTTAAGTCGACAACCACTTTTATCAGAATTGTTTACAGAAAACTTTGTAAAGAAAGTCCAGATAGTTCTCCCGACAGAAAGTTCTCCCAACACTACTTGAGATCAAGTAAAACACAACATAGTTTCAACGAAGCAGTTACAGAGCCTTTTACAGCTTTTAATATTTTAAACGATTTATTTTTTCCTGTCTGCCAAAACTTCAACACAAAGTTTAGGCAAACGCCCACTGAAATCATTGGGCCGATGATTACTAATGTGCCAACCCCTGTAAATCTTTCCTTAAAAATCTCCTCGAATATTAGTTACAACCATAGGCGAAGCGGAGCACTGCAGGCTAGCGAACAGAAAGGAGGGAAATTAGATTTAAAAAAAAACACGAAAAAATGAAAAGCTTTTCGTATCTATTAGCGACTGACCACTACTAACAAACGACACTTGAGTAGACGCCCACTAAGCAGAAAAAAAATCCCATAAAATAATTGTCATAGAAAAATTAAGAAATTTATTAATAATTTATAAATTTTTGTTTTATAACTCTCCTGACTCATAAAAAAAAAACAAGTTTTGCACGTCACACGTGAAAAAAAAACAGGTCACGCGGAAAAAAATATTGCCAACCGACAGTTGGAAAAACATAAAAAATAAAATGAACAACTAATGATTGAAACTTTCAAAAAAAAATGAATTAAAAAAACCTGAAAAAAAAATCCACTTTCGTAATTAGAAATCTGACCAGCGTACCCATCGCAGCAAATGTTCTTCGACGAACAGATTTTAAAGACATACTACAACAGAAGGCAATAAAGTCTATAGGTAGCTAAATTGAAAAATTGGCTGTTTTTTGGAAAGTTTAGCTTCTTCTACTTGACTTTCTGAACTGTTTTTCCGGATTTTAATACTAAAACTGCTTTTACTTTCTGATTATTGCAATTACATATGGAAATATTCGAACACAGAGGCGTAGCGGAGCTTCGCATTATTTGAGATAAAATGAAAAATTAGCACGGCAAGCTACCAAACAGAGTGAGATTAAAATAACTAAATCGAAAAAAATTGCAAGCAAACAACTTTTTGGGAATACGAAAAATCGAACCTCGGCAAAACAGATGAAAAAAAAACAACCAATAGCTTTGAACAAGCTTTAAGTTTTTTCTGAGCATTTATTAAGCTAACAACTGGTGCTTAGACATCAATTGATCTGAAAATCAAAATGCCAATGGAGATTGTTGTCATAAGCACGTGTGACAGTTAGTAGAAGCAGTAACCAAAAAAGGACAAGTTCAGGAAAATTGAATAAACCAGGGCCTACGACAAGCGAGTTTCAAAACCAAAACAATCGTACCAAAACCATCGTACGCTTTGAAATCGTACCAAAAAATTGAGTTTAACGTTAAAAAAACAAATCAGTTAACTTTTCATTCAAAACCCGAGCTTCGCTTAAATAAAGGCTTTATCAGGAAAATACACAACCAGCATATGTGATTCACATGTCTGATTTCTTCCACCAATCACTCTAACTCTTTTATCTTCGTTTCTCTTTACTTAAGTTTACAAAAATTAAGTCATTATCTGTTATTTATTATCTTTGTTGAGAAAAAAAACTGTTTAACGATAGCTATTAAAATTAAATATCATTACTTAGAACTACGAGACAAACAACAGCTACATAGTACAAAAAATAACAATTATTTTTATAGACCTATAATCTTCATATTATAAAGTCTGAAATGAAATGGAAAACTTTCTTCCATTTCATTCTCTATGTTCTGTGTTCATTTTCAAAATCCAAATGTTTCCCGCTGACTTCTAGTTTTCGTTTCTTGTAGTCACCACAGAAATAAATGCTCGTTTCAGAACGATAAAATCGCCTATGCGAGGCTTAAAACAATTAGCGTTTCTCATCGGCGGAACAAACAGCTGTTCTGTGTAAAGAGCTAAACAGCTTTTATGTTTCTACGTCCCATAGCCGATTAATCGTCTGAACTCTCAGGTTGAGTGAAGCTTGTCTTCCCAATATTTTCGATGCAGATGCGCACTATTCTCCTGAAGTCCTGACCACCCACAGTTGCTCCGAGGCAAAACAACTCGTCATAAATTCCAAAAGACTCCAGACCTTTTTTCTCATCTAGATCCTGAAATAAAATATGAAAAGTCAGTTCATTCAAATTGTTTATTTTGAATTCAACCAGCTATATTCCGACAAAAGTATACAAATCATGAAACTTTTGAAACAATTCAAGACAACTTTGATAACTAGAAACAAACTGTCCAGAGTCTAAATTAGTATGCAAAGTGTTCAGGCAAGTAGCTTTAGAAAGAATTCCAGTCAATTTGAAGAGCTTGAAAATATTGAATTCATTCGCAAAAGCAAGTTTTCATACAAGCTATTAAATAGTTCAGGCTGAATTTGATAACGTCTATTGATTTTTATAAACTCGAAGTTTTTCGAGTAAGCGTTTCACGCAAAAAATTTTTTTAAATGTCAGTTTTTGAAAGCTTTGGTCGCTTTTTGCTCCGACTTTCGATACAAAAGTAACGGAATATTTGTGCAAGGGGTGGGGTTTTTTCTTCAGACAAATTTCGACTTTTTAACTAGCCATTTTTGACGGATATTTTTTATCATTCGAAAAGTATTGTTCTCATGACCTCAAAATTGAAAAGATATTTTACCTGTGATCATTTTTCTTTAAGTTATGGGGGTTTAAAGATTGCCATTTTGGCCAATTTGGGACAATTAACGCGCGATACATTTCGCGCTTTAAACTCGTAAGCGGAGAGTTAATCCGTCTTAGAAATCATTCCAAATTGGTTGAAAGAAGCTTATCTGCCATAGTTGATTTGTTACAAGGAGCGAAATCTATCTTTTTGTACTTTATATGGCGCGTGGGGGAATGATTTTAATTAAAAAAATTCAAATTAAAAAAAAAGTTTCATTTTGTTTTATTGTTCCGACTTTCGATACGAAAGTAACGGAATATTTGTGCTCGGGGTACGTTTTTTTTTCTTCAGACAAATTTCGACTTATTAACTAGCCATTTTTGACGGATTTTTTTTATCATTCGAAAAGTATTGTTCTCATGACCTCAAAATTGAAAAGATATTTTACCTGTGATCATTTTTCTTTAAGTTATGGGGGTTTAAAGATTGCGATTTTGGGACAATTAACGCGCGATATATTTCGCGCTTTGAACGCGTAAGCGGAGAGTTAATCCGTCTTAGAAATCATTCCAAATTGGTTGAAAGAAGCTTATCTGCCATAGTCGATTTGTTACAAGGAGCGAAATCTATCTTTTTGTACTTTATAAGGCGCGTGGGGGAATGATTTTAATTAAAAAAATTCAAATTAAAAAAAAAGTTTCATTTTGTTTTATTGTTCCGACTTTCGATACGAAAGTAACGGAATATTTGTGCTCGGGGTGCGTTTTTTTTTCTTCAGACAAATTTCGACTTATTAACTAGCCATTTTTGACGGATTTTTTTATCATTCGAACAGTATTGTTCTCATGACCTCAAAATTGAAAAGATATTTTACCTGTGATCATTTTTCTTTAAGTTATGGGGGTTTAAAGATTGCCATTTTGGCCAATTTGGGACAATTAACGCGCGATATATTTCGCGCTTTAAACGCGTAAGCGGAGAGTTAATCCGTCTTAGAAATCATTCCAAATTGGTTGAAAGAAGCTTATCTGCCATAGTTGATTTGTTACAAGGAGCGAAATCTATCTTTTTGTACTTTATATGGCGCGTGGGGGAATGATTTTAATTTAAAAAATTCAAATTAAAAAAAAAGTTTCATTTTGTTTTATTGTTCCGACTTTCGATACGAAAGTAACGGAATATTTGTGCTCGGGGTGCGTTTTTTTTTCTTCAGACAAATTTCGACTTATTAACTAGCCATTTTTGACGGATTTTTTTATCATTCGAAAAGTATTGTTCTCATGACCTCAAAATTGAAAAGATATTTTACCTGTGATCATTTTTCTTTAAGTTATGGGGGTTTAAAGATTGCCATTTTGGCCAATTTGGGACAATTAACGCGCGATACATTTCGCGCTTTAAACTCGTAAGCGGAGAGTTAATCCGTCTTAGAAATCATTCCAAATTGGTTGAAAGAAGCTTATCTGCCATAGTTGATTTGTTACAAGGAGCGAAATCTATCTTTTTGTACTTTATATGGCGCGTGGGGGAATGATTTTAATTAAAAAAATTCAAATTAAAAAAAAAGTTTCATTTTGTTTTATTGTTCCGACTTTCGATACGAAAGTAACGGAATATTTGTGCTCGGGGTGCGTTTTTTTTTCTTCAGACAAATTTCGACTTATTAACTAGCCATTTTTGACGGATTTTTTTATCATTCGAAAAGTATTGTTCTCATGACCTCAAAATTGAAAAGATATTTTACCTGTGATCATTTTTCTTTAAGTTATGGGGGTTTAAAGATTGCCATTTTGGCCAATTTGGGACAATTAACGCGCGATATATTTCGCGCTTTAAACGCGTAAGCGGAGAGTTAATCCGTCTTAGAAATCATTCCAAATTGGTTGAAAGAAGCTTATCTGCCATAGTTGATTTGTTACAAGGAGCGAAATCTATCTTTTTGTACTTTATATGGCGCGTGGGGGAATGATTTTAATTTAAAAAATTTAAATTAAAAAAAAAGTTTCATTTGTTTCATTGTTCCGACTTTCGATACGAAAGTAACGGAATATTTGTGCTCGGGGTACGTTATTTTTTCTTCAGACAAATTTCGACTTATTAACTAGCCATTTTTGACGGATTTTTTTTTATCATTCGAAAAGTATTGTTCTCATGACCTCAAAATTGAAAAGATATTTTACCTGTGATCATTTTTCCTTAAGTTATGGGGGTTTAAAGATTCCATTTTGGCCAATTTGAGACAATTAACGCGCGATATATTTCGAGCTATTAACGCGTAAGCGGAGAGTTAATCCGTCTTAGAAAGCGTTCCAAATTGGTTGAAAGAAGCCTATTTGTCATAATTGGTTAGGTACAAGGAGCAAATTAGATTCTTTTGAACCGAATATGGCGTGTGGCGTGATGGTTTTCATAAAAAAATTTAGAAAATTTTTTTTTCACTTTTTTTAAATTTCATTAAATTTTTTATCTTTATTACTGCTCCATAAACCTTAAAAGGCAGTCGGAACATTCAGGGCTTCGCCCTGATACGAGCAGTCTTGTTACATTTAATTTTTAAATGTTATTACTGCTCCATAAACCTGAAAAGCCAACCGGAACTTTCAGGGCTTCGCCCTGATACGAGCAGTCGTCTTGTTTAAAATAAAGTTTAATTTTAAGCTATTTCAGCAACGCAAATTTAAAACACACTCACTCAAAAATCATTTTGATAAGTTAAAACTACTCACAAAACTATGTTTTCTAAAACAAGTTACTTAAAGCTAGGGTATGTCGCTCAACCATTTAAGTTTATCGACAAAAATTACAAGTAATAAAACACTCAAGTGCTTCAAAAGGCTTTGATAGCTATGAGAGATTCGCAAAAAAAAACATGAAACCTTCAAACAAAAAAATTCAAATGATGGAACAGATATAATCAAAGCTTTGATTGCTTCAATCGGTTCGCGAAACAAACCTTTTAGAGCAAGCCAATCAACAGATGAAACTATGAAATATTTTTCAAGGAATTTGATAGGATGGATCGTTTCACATGAAGTTGAACAAATTGAAGTTGAAGAAAAACAGCAAAATCAATTACCCTTGATACGCACTTTCGGTACAGTTGAATTTCGCAAACAACTTGCTCGTCCAAACTCAGGATGTTCTTCAAAATGGTTTTGAATGCTTGAATTGAATCATAATTTTTTTTCAAAGCATTTGCGAAAACGTTTCTCATAAAACTAATCGCAAAATTTTTGAAGCAACCAGTTTTAAACAATTAAACATTTATTTTTTAAGTTGATCTAGAAAACTTGATCTGTTTCACAAATATTTGAATTAATCCAGCAAGTATATAAATGATCAAGAATAGCCGGTTACTGCGCAAGTAGCAAGCACAGAATGTTCCGACCACTGTCTTAGAAAATACAACAAAACTTAAGTGTCGTTATTTTCGGCGTGGTGAGATAAATATAGCTGAACAAAAAACTAGAGACTAAGCATAATCGACACAGTAGTAGTAAAAGAAGCAAATTGAACAACAACTGCAGAAAAATTACTAGAAAAACGGAAAAAATCAAAAAAAAAATCACGAAAATTTGTTCGATTTTTTTTTTGAAGTTTTGATTCAAAAGAGGCGCTGAAATACTCAAAAAACTAACGTACTCGAGTAACACTAGGTTTTTACGTTTTAAATTAAGCTATAGTAAGCTTTTAACCCATTAAACTAAGATCTTGTAGGCCTGCCGGCTCGCTTTATTCGCTTGAATTCAGACGAAAAACCAAAACTTCCAAACCGGTTTCTCTAGACACTGGGATTTTTTTGGAAACTTTTGATGTTCTTCGAATCACACTCACAAGAGCTTCAATGTGATACATCACTCAAATCTCTCCAATGATTGTTAGTGGTAGCTGATTTTGCGCGGAAAACAAAAAACAGAAAAAAACTAAAACATTTTGTTCCGACCTTTTCGAAAAATGGGGAGGAACTTTGTATGCGGGTATGTTTTAGTTTTTTAAGACTTTGTAGACTTTTAGTTTTTTTAAAACAGTAAAGATCAGTTAAAACGTAGTTTTTCAAAAGCTTCATCGTTCCGAGAGCTTGTATGAAAGGTTCGTCTTTAAGCAAAGCTGTTAAATCAATCTAAATGGGCATCAGTTTTTTTATCGCTTGGATTTTTTTGCGAACTAATTCAAACTATCAGAACGAATTGGAGTTTCTTCAAATTTTATTGCTTAAGTTCTTACACAACCACTGTAAGATATCAAAAAGTGTTCCAATATCTTGTTTAAGAATCCTTGAATTATTGCGAGCAGCTTAAGTAAGGAAGCAACTTTTACAATTCAAGAGTTATATTGTTCCGACCTTTTTGAAAAATGGGCTGGAACTTTGTATGCGGGTATAACTCTTGAATTGTAAAAGTTGCTTCCTTACTTAAGCTGCTCGCAATAATTCAAGGATTCTTAAACAAGATATTTTTGATATCTTACAGTGGTTGTGTAAGAACTTCAGCAATAAAAGTTGGAGAAACTCCAATTCGTTCTGATAGTTTGAATTAGTTCGCAAAAAATCCAAGCGATAAAAAAAACTGATGCCCATTTAGATTGATTTAACAGCTTTGCTTAAAGACGAACCTTTCATACAAGCTCTCGGAACAATGAAGCTTTTGAAAAACTACGTTTTAACTGATCTTTACTGTTTTAACCAATGGAAAAATGAACCACGACATTAACTTGGTTTAATAAAATCATTTGTTTTGCAAAAAGTTGAATTTTTTAAGCAAGCTATTGAATCATTAAACCATGAAAAAGTTGAAATTGTTTTGAAAGCAAACTTTGTTCTCGTAAGCACTTTCGAGCAAGCTCTTAGAACGCTGAACTGTGGTAAATTTCAAGCTGTCAGATAGCTTGAATTGCTTAGCGGAAGTTTCTAGTTTGTTTTGATAGCTTGAAATATAGCTTTTGACTTAAACAAGGACCCTAACTATTTTCGTTTAACATTGTACCCTATAAGAAAAGCTTTGCACAGAGGCTAAGCTGCGCGCCGCAAACACTAGTGAGAACACGACAAAAAACAGCTCTAGAACTCTAAAAAATGCAATAAGAAAAAGTCAGAATAAGCCTCAAATTAGAAAAAATTCGGCGACATCTCGGACTCGAACCTACAATCTACTGCGACTTAGAAACTGTGAGTCTCAAGCACTAACCACTCAGTCACGGACACTTAGTCCATCGCAAACACTAGCCACAAATAAAGCCAACAGATGCTAAGAAAATTCTTATGTTACAGATCGTGATTATAGCAAAAAGGCACAAGTGAATACTTATAATGAACACTTTTATTTGCGAGTTAGGTTAGAAAAAAAGAAGGCTCGTACTAAAACACCAGCTACTCGCTAGCATAAACATTACTCAATAGAGGTCTTGGCGTATAGTTTACAAAAGAGAGATGAGCCCTCTGACGTCGCAAGTCGAAGCACAGTTAATTGTTCATTTTCTCTCGCTTTATTTCTAAATTAGGACAAAATTAAGTATTGCGAAAAAGAAACATGGGGTAAATAAAAACCCTCCCACTGAAACACAGTTTTCATTCTATTTCCTCCAATCCTACGCATTCAAAAACTGAGAATTGTGGGGCCGATAAGACTGATTTTTGAATGTCGACTTCCTGAATTATCAAAACAAAAATCATTCAAATACCGATGATTGAAAACAATCAATTGGAAATTTCTTCCTAATGAGAACACAATCTATCAAGTTTTATTGAACTTGCCTTAATTTCTACCCGAACTCTTAGTTAAGCAAAGATAAAAAGATCATCTAGTATAAACAAAAGTCAAATTTCGTGACAAAAGTAGATTTGAATTCGATTTCTTTTATCAATCAAAACAATATGATTCCTTTTGTGACACATTTATTGTTTATTTCCAATTTGATTTTAGTTCTAAAGAGACAAAAGCAGACAAGAGGGCTATTCTCATGCGCGAAGCAACGAAAGCGCGAAAATTCTCAACCAATCAACGCCTTTTACTGATTTTATCGCTTATTTCCTTCGAATTTATGAATGCTGAATTCTGATTGGCTCACGTCACTTTAGCGCATTCGGTCCTTCGCTTATGAGGGATTCCCCCAGCAGACAATCGTCACCAAATTGAATAACACTTAAAGACTAAACATCTCGCTTTTTAAAACCCAAACTCAGTTCAGATTTCTTTAGGGATGTTCATTTTACGTCCAAACCTGATTGTAGAAGTGAGAAAACCGAACCGGAGGAACAGAACAAAACCAAAATAGAAAAAAAACTGAGTAGAAAAAACCGAAAACCGAACTGAACCGAACCAAAATAAGCAAAAACCGAACCAAAATTCTTTTTGAGCAAAGGGCTCACCGCTACGTAATCTACCCAGAAAAAATATATCCTGATGAAATTTGCTCAAACTAAAGCTGTTGAGCCACTCAAACCAGAACATCTGGCATCATCGGGAATAGATCCGCCGACCACCTGTTGATCGTTTCAAAATTACGGACACTGAACACTAAATCACAGCAGTAATATTTGTTATTATAGCTTTTCAAAAATTTCTGCTGTTTTTCGAAAATTTAGGCTTTGAAATAATGCCAATAGCTTAATTAAGATTTAAAACAATCAGTTTCTCAATCACTCAAATAGCCCAAATAGTCTACAAACTGAAATATTCGGATCCTTCTTTCTCAAAACCGAGAGAATATTTTGAGATTTTATACAAGCCAAAACAAAAAACAACAGAAATTCATGATGCCAAAAAAAATCCAGAAAACTTCAAATAACCACCGTTTTTTTACGACCACCTTTTCTCTTAACTTGTGAACAAAAAACACAAAATTTCTTATCCAGTCTGTTAGAAATATTAAGGCAACTTACTATTCAGCTAAGTCTTCAAAACGAAAAACGCCGTAAGGATCGAAAGGCTTCCATATCATCCAAAAACTGCTGTTTTCAAGCTAAATCCAATTGCTTTTATTAGTTGCCTCATCATTGTGCTCCCGGGACTTTAAACAGGCCAGATAGACTTCAATGTCCGCTCAAGCTATACGTTTTTTTCTTTTATAAAATTACAGTAGTTGGAATATTGTGCAAATTGCACAGCAGCCGTCCACTTTTTTTATAATTCTAAATAGTTCTTACCAATGCTTTTATTTCTAAATAATTCTTAACAATGCTTTTAATCATGAATAATTCTTAACAATGCTTTTAATTCTGAATAATTCTTAACAATGCTTTTAATTCTAAATAATGCTTAACAATGCTTTTAATTCTGAATAATTCTTAACAATGCTTTTATTTCTAAATAATTCTTAACAATGCTTTTATTTCTAAATAATTCTTAACAATGCTTTTAATTCTGAATTATTCTTAACAATGCTTTTAATTCTAAATAATTCTTAGCAATGCTTTCAATTCTAAATAATTCTTCGCAATGATTTTCATTCTAAATAATTCTGAACAAGGTTTTTAATTCTAAATAATTCTAAACAATGCTAAATAGAAGCTGTTTACCATGTATTCTTTCTCTTTGAAGCTGACCACAATGCTTCCCTCGTGTTCATCAGTGCGCCCCATTCTGGGGTCACTCTCCAACCCCATCATACTGACCCCTGGGTCAACATCTTCACACATTTCGTCTGCATTCCCAATCTCACACACGTCAGGAAAGCTTCGCTTTTCAAAGAGGGAATTCGTGAACCCATAATACATCATCTGCTCGTTGATAAGTGCAACCTAGAGAAAAACTAAAACACTCGATTCTGATTTGGTGAAAATGGCCTGATCATTAAAATCTTTGGTTCAATTATGTTTAAAATTCACAATAAAACAAGGATAGCCGGTTGCTGTGCAAGTAGCACAGAATGCTCCGACCATATTCATGAAAATAAATAAAAAAATAAAAAAAGTTTTTCTAGTTTTCACGAAATCAAAAGTCAAACCTGGAAAACCTAAATCTGAGTGTAAAAAAATCTTACGATTTTTTTGAAAAGAAACGGTAAAATATCAGCATGACCTATATAAATGATAAATCCCTTTGTTCATTAGCACTTGAAAAATTTTTTGATTTGATGTAAACTTGATTTGATGTTTTATTCCTGGACTAAAAGCTGGCCACAAACTTCCATAAAGCTATTAAATTTCATGGATCTCATAAAAAAAACTTTGCACTAACTCAATTCTGTACATATCATTTTTAGTTGCTTCGCCGTATATTCAAACTTCATATTGAAAATAAGGCTTAATATAAAAAGCATAAAACCGCAGTAGCAGAAACTTGAGAACCAAGTATCTGAGTCTACACAAAAGCACAATTAATTTGTAAGCTGCCGATCAAACAAAATTTATATGAGATATAAAAGTAAACTGATCGCCGCCAAGATTGAGACCAAGATAATCAACTTGTAATTGCATTGCTAGCACTTATTAGTGTGTAATAAAGGTTAGCAACAGTGAGTCGCATCATTAGCATCAAAAACAGCGGCAGAGCAGCTGCACTTTCTAAACACAAGCGATGAAACGGAAAAAATAGCCCAAAAGAAATATAAAAAATACAAAAAATTACATAAAAAAATAACTTTCGACTTGTACCGGAAACGAACCCCCAACCAGCAGATTCAGAACCTTCTATTATCGCACGCACCTGCACCATGGCTGCTTGACAATCGTCTACACAGAGGCCGAGCTGTGCTCTGCAAACTCGAGCGAGAACACGACAAAAAGCGGCTCTATAAAGTGCAAAAAGAAAAGGTAGAAATACACCTCGAATTAGTAAGAAATCGGCTACGTCTCGGACTCAAACCTACTGCAACCTTAAAATTATGAGTCCCACGCACTTAGCACTCAGCCACGGGTGCTAAACTAATGACAAACACTAGCCACAAATAAAGCAGAGAACAGATGCTATACAGTTTTTAATGCTACAATGAAATTTCCATAAGTGAGCACTTTCAACGAATACTTTTATTTGCGAGTTAGGTTAGAAGAAAAGAAGGCTCGTATGAATACACTAACGCTCCCAAGCTCACTAGTGTGATCACTAGCAACCAATATAACCGGTACAAAAGATGCCATTTAGTTGCCAATGCTTAAAAATGTTGATATTTACCGGAGCAAAACCCCTGAACTTGAGATTAGGAATCTTAAATCCTCACAACTGCACCATGGTCGTTGACAATGGCCAAACAATAGCCACCAACTAATCAGATACAACAAATGTCATTTAATGGCCAATGCTATGTCAGTAAAATTTCCACTGAATGATCACTTCTATTAGCGAGTTCGGTTGGAAGAAAAAGGACTTTGTAATATGACACTACGCTAACTCGTGCAAATAGAAAAAGTTATCAGATTTTAATAAGTTTATCATAAAACTTCGAAAAACTTTCTCCACACTCGTTGATTAAAATATGGTTAATATCGACTAATAAGTAATAAAAACTGATTAAATTCAGTTTTTGTGATGTCGAACTTAAACAGCAAGGACTTAAGGAGTACGTTGAAATCACCCATAATGGCAGGTTATCAAAAAAATTGGACACGGCTGATTTCGGTATAAACATTACAATATGTTAGTAATGATTAAATCGTGGGCCCAATTTATGTCTCACTCATTCTGTCTGCTTCATTCACTGGGAAAACTCTCAGAGTCAGTAAAAGTTCAGATATCGAAAAATTACATCCTCAATGGCAATTAAGCACAGGAGGATTACAGCTTGTAAAAATTTTAATACGCAAGGTTTTATAATTTCGAAGGCCATCAAGAGCGTCTGAGACTCCAATTAATCATTTTCGGCTGCTCTTTTTTCGCATCAACGAGCTCAAAAACGATTGTAATTCAGGAAAGATCAAAACTTCAAAGTAATTCGACGACTAATTTAACTGCTATGAAGCTTAATTCATTAGGACATAGCCAACAGACAGTTGAAAACGAGTCATGAATGAAAGGAAATAGAATACTGAATTATTTTTTGAAAAAACTTCAAACTTCGAATTATATGGCCATATATGAATGATTGACTCTTTTTCGACAAAATTGACCCAATTTGAGAAAACTGGGTCAATGGGTAAATTTTATATTTCGCTTGGAAATTTCGAAAGTAAAATTGATCAAAATTTTCGTGACCTTTGATTTCTTAAGTTCACTTCATTTCCGTTGTTAGGAAGGCAAACTCCGCTACCGAACAACAAAAATAAAAAATCAAACCGCAAAAAATCAATATTGAGCCTGAACAAAATTTAGAATTTTTTTCATGAAAAATAAAACCGATAGAAAATCAACAAGGCCTATAAAAGAGCATTCACTACGTTTATGACACTTGAAAACTATTTCAGTTTCAAGATATTTTAAAATATCAACATAACATATTATCAATGTTGTGTATCGTATCAACTGTAGAGCTCGAAAGTTTCTGACCTTAAATTTTGACCCTTTTGAGGTTGCAAGTTGAATACATTGATTCTCGATGGCCTGGCAGAGGTAGCTGCTGTTCATTTTAAACACTGCTTTCCGAAAATCAGGCTGATATTTGAACTCCTGAAACAACAAAATTCGTTTTTGAAACTTAAAGTCTCCGTTTTCTGGTCATTTGCGTTTTGGTGATTGGACAGCTTAGTTTGCCTTGCGTTAAGCAATCGAATTTGAAATTAACATAAAAAGTTGTCAGTAATCCAATACCATAGCCCTGCAGAGTAGGTCTTTAACATTCAAAAAATAAATCTGAGCAAAGACAATTGAATCAACGTAAGCTCTACTTTGCATCAGAGGAGGAGGATTTTTTTTAACTTATCCAATTTTTCTTGTAGCTCAATTTTGTTCAGACAATACCTGGACGTATTCAGACAGTTTCGTTTGAGATCTTTCTTCAGATATTGAACCACTAAACTGTGCTGATTCTACTTCTTCGTCATCATAATCAGTAGTTGTTGTTTTTGTGTGTTTTGAGCTAGTTTGCAGGATGGTTTTAAGTGGCTTGTCTATGAACACGCAGTAGTCTTCGATATCTTTTTCTGCATTCGCATTGCCTCTTAACATCTCCCACAGAATAAGTCTCTTCTGGGCCCAAGGGGGAAACCAGAGTCGTCGGTAGTTGTGGAACCTACAAAATAGAGAAAGAAAGAATACATTTCTCTGACATAAATAAATGTACAATCAGAGCATCAAAACCTAAGACCTGGAGAGGACAGACAACGGGATCCTAGGATCCACTAAGCGTCTGTCCCTACAAGCAGTATTGGCTCAAGCGTACAATCTCCTCTCCCCTCCCTAAGTGCTTTACCGTAGAATGCCCTCACCAAGCATGTATTAATTCTGAAAAATAACTCAAACGCGCAAATAGTAGTGTTTTTTACATTTTTATGCGGGATTGCATTTATGTGCTGTTAATTACATAGATTAATGCTTTAATTCAATTTTCTTTAGTGAAACTGTTCATTTTGAACGAATCTAGGCAATACTCAAAGTTAGTTTATGATCTGCAAGTTTCCCGGACTAGAAAGCAAGATAGATCTACTCCTTTTTTTTGCAAAAATTGCACAAAAAAACAACAAAGCCACATAAAACCAGTTAGTCAAAACTGCTAATAACCCAATTACTTAAATTAGTGAAAATTACACATGTCGCTGGAAATCTAAAAATCAAATACCGCTTTCGAAACAAAACTGATCACGTTTTTTCGCGCCATTTCCACAATCGTAATTGGAGATATTTACTAAACTTTCAGCAGGTGAACTTCAATTGAACTCAAGAAGTTCATTATACCTAAGTGCATCAATATTTTAAGAATTTTTCCTGCAAAAAAAAAACAAGAAAAAATAAGCAAGACCTATTTAAGAGTCTTCACTACGTTCATTACCATTAAAAAGAACCATATTCGAAAAGGAGCGTTCAAAACATTTACCGAACGTCAATCAAGCAGACAACTCTTGGAAAGACGTCTGTTGAGACGATAACAAGATTGTCCTGGAAAAACGTTCGAGCTCTACAAAATTGCAACTCGAAGTTTCATAATACCTTTTAACACAAAAAGAAACGAAATTTATTTTTACCTTTCAAACGGACCAATATAAGGAGAATGAGTCAATTTTACATCATTCGACATACCAGCTGAAAATTGAATGAACCTTTTGAGCGATCTTTCATTACACTTCGCATACACAAGCATAATATGCCCGATAATGCTACTGGAAAAAGCTGAATTCGTAAAATTTTGAGTCTACAAAAGTTCTTAAATGACACACGCCAATTATGAGTCTACACAATTACTAAATGACGCAAATCAGTTATGACGCATTAGCAGTACCAGTCAATTTGAAGAAATGAAAATTACCAACTAACATGTCTCAATTTATAGAGCGGACGCATTTTATCTAGTATACGAAAATTTCATTAAAAACATCCAAACCTGCCCAGGTTCGAACCCTCTTATTTTATTGCGGGTCTCCTTTCCTACCTTTCCGTCATACCTTGAAGCTAAAGTGCTATTTGTAATACAAAAGTCTGAGTTAATATCCTAAGCCACTTTCAAAATGAACACATTTTGTCGCAACACTATTTGCGTTGCAACAAGATTTGCAACTTAGGTTGGAAAAAAAAGATAGTTCATATTATAACAAAAGCTTTGCTTGTGTAAATAAAACTTACCCAATTTTAAAAAAAAAATGAGCCAGGAGGTTATTTTTTCCTCCTGCTGGAAATTCCGAAAACTGAAATACGTTTTTGAAATTAAAAATCAAAAGATCATTCAATTTTGCACCAACTACATTTTTGTAATCAGAGAGCCTAATTCGCCTTGCATTTAGCAAATTGTCAATCAAATTGTTGAAAATAAATTTAAGTGTGAACAAATTTTGACAGTTTCTTGAAAAAAAAACGAAAAGCCACGCGACCTAAATAAGTGATTAATCCAGGTTTAATAAATTTTAAAAGTCCATGACAAGGAAAGGCTAAAAAAAATGGCTGACATACGGTATTTTCCGACAATAAAACTAACGATAGTCCAAACAGAAAAAATAGTTTTCCTTAAAAAAAATTCCTTAAAAGAACTTGTTGTCCCAGGCATGGACTTTATCTTTACGCTTTGCAGGAAAAATGAGTAGCTGGAAAATGACATGCAAATAATTAACCCGATGAGTCTAGCCGAAGTCCTGTGAACAATTTTTTTAACGAGCAAAAAGTCTTGTATCAGATTGCAATACCCTTGCTAATTGTGTGAGTAACAGAACTCCGCTTGTTCAATTAAATAGAATAATTAAAAGAGCAACTTACCGGTCCCTGAACGCCAACGTATTCAAGTGCAATTTCATCTTGAAGAAATTCGCTTTGCTCTCCTTGTGCAAGAAGCTCAAGTTGTGTCCTAACATAAGCAAATAGGGAGGCAAACCTAAACGAAAAAACTACTATTGACCCAAAAAAAGGTAACAACTATTCAGCTATTTGGGCGAACCAGCGATTTTATAGTTTTAGATCCAGAGGCTAGTTTGTCAAGAACTTTCTGCACTGAAAAAACTTTACCCACCATCAAAAAACAACAATGGATCATGGTGAGTCTCGAACCAATTACTTTTAGATTGAAAGGCCGATTCAGTGTTCGCTTTTTTTTGAGTCTAAAAAATGACAAATACACCACAATACATTTTATGTGATGAAACGTTCTTAGTTTTTTTTCAAATACTGCAACTATAACTGATTTCTGTTTTTATTTAAACAGTATTAAGAGACAAATCAATGAATGAATAACACGAAGGAACTACTAGTATTCAAACTACAGACTTATGCGAAAAAAATCAAACATAGTCCAAACCTCTTTCAAACAGAGTCCTGTGGGCCGACTTGTACCACTGGCGGGAAAACTGCTTCATTCTAGGGTGAACACTTTGGTCTATTACAAAGTGTTTCACTATGAATGCGATGGCAAAGAAGTAGACGTCGAATTCAACTAGCATTTTCCATTTATTTCTGCTCTAAACACAAAATTGGTGATCAATGGTTTAGCATTCAAAACGGAAGTATCAAACAGTATTTTTAAAACATTCTGATCAAAAACTATAACTGATGAAAAGTTATTTAAAAATGCACTTGTTTATTGTTACAGTGGGGAAGTTCCACTTGCAAAAACACACGAAATAGGACAGCGAAAAGGAGCAAAAATTACTATATTTTATTTCAAGATCAAAAATCAACCTGATACAAAGGATTGCTGGTGACAGCAAACTAAGTATCCAATGCCAATAAAACCCAGAGCCACCAGTGGATTTAGGGGGGGGGGAGGAGGGACGAACACCTCTTTCCCCTCAGCGATCGACCTCCTGCCGTCCCAAGGGATTCGATCCCCTGCTAGCGGCGCAGAAAATTTGGTCAAAATAGAGTCAGTATAGAGCTCGGAATATCATTTTGGTGTACCTAAAAAAAAAGAGGTCGATAAGATAAAAATTCGAAAGTTTTTTTGAAAAATCGCCTCCTGGTTTTTTAGAAAATCTTTGGTAATCCCTTGCCCAGTGCACAACATATTCCGCGTCATTAAAACATCCTAAATTTGAAAATCAAAGGATTAAAAACTAGGTGGGGAAATAAATTGGCATATAAGTTGTTCATGGCATTCATGTTCCGACTGCCGCAATCCTTGCGAAAATACAGCAGCAAAAACGACGATACAGAGGCGAGCTGCATTTTGCGAAAACAAGTAAAAATGCCATGAATTAGCTATAAAAGGTTAAATATAGAAAAAAAAAGAATTAGCAGTACCAGTCAATTTGGAAAAAATAATAATAAATTCACCAACTAACATGCCTCAATTTATAAAGCGGACGCATTTTAACTAGTATACGAAAAAGTTCATTAAAAACACTCGGCGCTGCTCAGGTTCGGACCCACTCATTTTGTTGCGGGTCTCCTTCCCTACCGCTACGCTTACGCTACAGATCCATCATATTTTGAACCTAAAGTGCCATTTGTAAAATAATAGTCTGTGTTAATATCCGTAGCATTGGCTGTACTTAATAGCTGGTTTTTGATCAAAATGAACACTTTCAAAAGGAACACATTTAGTCACAACAATATTTGCGACTTAGGTTGGAAAAAAAGATAGCTCATACTAAAACACAAGCTTTGCTGCGAAACTGCGAAAAGTATACCCCCATCAACTCCAGTCAACCCCACATTAACCCTCTCACACCACCTACTTTACATTTAAACACCCTCATCACTTCAGTTTAACGCCCCCCGCCACCCAACCCCGTTCATCCATAAAAATCCCCCACCCCGTGACCCCAAACGTGAGGTAAGGATTATATGTGGGTGGAAAATACACTGAGGGAAGGGGTGAACGTGAACGGAGAAATGGAAGCATATACACGAGCGTTATAAAAATGAGTAGTTTCAGATTTCGATTAGGCCATGAGTAATGTAGAAATTTAGAAAAAAAAATGCCAAAAAATATGGAGATTATAATCCATTTTAATCATTTATCATAGACTTTAAAAGGACTGATATCCATTATAATGCAATTCAATTGATTGTGTTCCTACGGTCTCATTGTCTAAATTTACAGCGACAACATTTTTCCATTATAATGAATTTTAATCCAAAAAACTCCGGTGGGGGTAAAAAAAAAATGACGAATAAACAGAACCAAAGCGAAGCTTTGCACCACTTATGATACAACATGAAAATAGCAGTGCAAGCTAGCAGACAGGAAAAAAGCCACTATTTCCAAAAAAAAACGGAAAAACCACAATTTAGAAAAAATTCAAAATGTTGTCAATTGACGGCAATTCAACACAATCGACGGCAACTCAAAAAAATCCAAAAAAAATTAACAAGCGGCAATTGAGCTGACGAAACTTGAATATTTTCCTGTAAAACCGAACAACTAATTGTTGTCATAAAAATTTGAACTATAAATTTTATTCTGAAAATTTCAGCACTTTGTACGATCCGGAATGAAGCATAAAACTTATGTTTTCCTTAAAATGACCCCATTTTAGGTCATTAAACCGATAAATCATAAGCCGAAACCATTCAAGCCTAATATAGTTTTTACACAAAAAAAAACACACAAACAGCAAAATAAACGAAGTCAAGGCGAGTAAAATTAAAAATCGCAGGAGTAATTCAAAACAATAGAAGCAACTACATTGAAACTTGCGTTAAATTTAATTCTACGATGTGGCAACTAAGCTAAAAAAAACATAAGCAGACAAACTATAGGCTGACTTTTTGAAAAGGAATATTTCATGTTTGAAAAAATCATTCAGTTAAATAAAAAATTGTTAACCCGAAATCAAAGTCTATATTAGCATTTGATAAGCTATGAAACTGCGAAAAGTATGCACCAGAAGTGCACAAAAACGAGCAAGAAAATGTTGTGGGTTCGAAAAAAAGTGGACTGGCTCTTTCTTTCCCGTACCTGTGATTTTTTACAATTGAAATGTTCGTTCACAGTAACAGATTTACATGAAAGTTGATATGCGGACAATTTAAGCCATAACTAACCTTATTAGTTTTCATACTCAACAATGTAAAACCACTCATTACACCAGAAAATTGATGCTAGTGTAGGTGGGGTGGGAGGAAGGAAAAACAGCCAGTGAACTGCAGAATATGACACTACGCTGGCTAGTGTAACAAATGGAGTATGAACTATGCATTTCAAGATCTCGTTAAATACATGGATCAAAAAATTTTCTGAAACGGAATTTATTTCATTATATTTCAAGATCTCGTTAAATACATGGATCAAAAAATTGTCTGAAACAGAATTTTTTTCATTATAATGTTGTATGAAGCAAATCGCTCTTGTAATCATATTAATAGCATTTGCTATTACATGGCTGATACTGCCTGCTGCCGAAAAAGGCCACCGAAAGTAACACTAAAAATTGCGGCTTGGGTTTCAAAAAATGTTGCTTCGCAGTATAACACTACGATGTGTTTTTGTAATTATTGTTGTCAAAAAAAAAACACTGGTTTTAGAGAGGGAGCCAGGAAGAGGCTTAAATTATCTAATATACTAATTAACTATTCTTGAGTACTTTAAACCATACAGATAAAAATTTTCAGAGTGTTTTACACAGAGGCGAAGCTGCGCTTCGCAAGCACTTGCGAGAACACGACCAAAAAGCAGCTCTATCAAATGAAATAAGAAAAGGTAGAAATAAGGCTCGAATTAGCAAAAATTCGGCGACAAGTAGGATTAAAATCTGCGCCCTACTGCAATCAAGAGACTTTGAGTCTCACGCACTATCCACTCAGCCATGCAAGTTTGTTAACTGACAAACACTAGTCACAATAAAAGCAGCTACATATGCTAATAGATTACCAATGAGCAAAATTGGCATCAAATACAAATAGACTCAATTTTGCGAGTAATAATTTGGAATATAACAAACTGAAGGCATCCACACTAACTTTGTATATAACAAATCAGTTCAATTTTTCGGTTCATTTGATGAATTAAAAATTCATCAACTGTTTTAACTTATTACTTTTCGAATGTCAACGCACATGCTATGAAAAAGCTGTAGAGGTGTCTCAAAAGTGGCACCAAAATTTGCGACTTAGGTTGGAAAAAATAGAAGGTTCGTACTAATACACTCGCTTCGCAAGTGTAAAACACAGAGGCGAAGTTGCACTACGCATTCACAAGCAAAAATATGACCGAAAACGCTACTGGGAAAAACAAATGGAGTAAAAATTTGAGTCTACAAAGTTTATTAAGTGGCGCACGCCAATTATGAGTCTACATAATTGCTAGGTGACGCGAGCCAATTATAAAACATTAGCAACACCAGTCAATTTGAAAAAAAAAATTACCAAATAACATGCCTCAATTTACAGAGCGGACGCTCTTTAGCTACTATACGAAAAAGTTCATTAAAAACACCCGACCCTGCCCACGTTCGAACCCTCTTATTTTGTTGCTGGTCTCATTCCCTACCTCTACGCTACAGATCCATGATACCTTGAAGCTAAATTGTTATTTGTAATATAATAGTCTGTGTTGATATCCTTAGCATTGGCTGTACTTAATAGCTAGTTATTGATCAAAATGAACACGATGAAAGTGAACACATTTTGTCGCAACAATATTTCCGACTTAGGTTAGGAAAAAAAGAAAGTTCATACTATAACACAAGCTTTGCTAGTGTAAACAGAACATGATAAAAATTATTCAGATTTCTAAATCAAAAATTAAAATCGAACTTCAAAATCAATTAAAATTGAGTATGAAATTACAAAATCAGATTACAATGAAAGGCTGCCAATCAGTAGCGGATTTAGGGGGGGCGCCCCCCCCTCAGGGATTCGACCCTCTGCCGACCCAAAAGGGTCTCCCCTTTGTATTATTTTGAGATATCCATTTTGACTGGCTGCCCTTAAAATTTTTCTAAATGCGCCTTTGGCGCCAAACTATACTTATTTTGAGGGGGAAGCGCGCGCCGAAAAAACGCAATTTTTTTGGTCGAAATTTTCCAAGAAGAGCCTAAAATCGCTTTTTTTTCAGCGACGCAGAAAATTTCGTCAAATTAGGGTCTTTATAATGTTTTGGAAGAGACCTTAAAAAAAGGTCGACAAAATTTTCAAATTTTTTTTTGAAAATCCGCCGCCCCCTCGAGAAATTCCTAGGTATGCGCCTGCTGCCAATTAAGATTCAAATTTAGGTGAGTTTATGCTTTCAATCCAGTATTTTGTTGCCTGTCACTGAGAACACTACGTCTCTTAATTTGTACACTCCTAATTAGCAAAAAAAAAGGTTACTTAATTGGTTACCGTGCACATGTTACGTCTCAATGTATCCATGAGATTGTTGCAGAGAGGAGCGAGAGATAGAGGTAGGTTGAGGAACTGAAGAGTCCACTCACACTTCTGGTACACATCATTGTCATTCAGAATAATCACATCCAACTTACTATCCGCAAATGCAATCTAAAACAAAACTAAAACAAGTAAGGATTGGACACTTTGGGCTTTCACAGCCCCCCCACACCTGCAAAAAATTTACAAGTGACATGTTTTTCCATATTGTCGGCTTGTTATGAAAATTGACATGCAGACTGATTGAGCCATTACCAACATAATTGTTTTGCATACTTGGCCTTTGAAAACTACTCATTACACCATCAAATTGATAAATTGATGCTCATTCGAGGTGGTTGGGGGTAGAGTTCTGGGTGTTTAACTAAAAGAAAAACAAATGTTGGGAAAATTTGATAATGGTGGATGACATCCAGGGTAGCTTTTCATATCGAGGGCAGCATCATTAATATTTCAAAGACCGAGTAACTCTGTTTATTTGTTAATTTTTTAGCCTAATTGTTGTGATAAACTTATTAAATAGTTTCAGATTTGGACTGTACACTGAGATAATTCTTACACCTTACTGGGAGCTGTCATGATGTTGAACATTATCAAAGAAAATATTAACCAACTGTCGAACGATATTGATCCATCTTTGAAATCAATTCTGCAAGATCTTTTATCCCATGTTGAAACTCAAAGCGGCACCATTGCAAACATGAAAAACGAATTAATTTTTCTGAAGAAAAAAGTAAATGATCTGGAGCGCTATTCCTCAAAAGATTGTATCATTATTAACAATTTACCTCTGCGGCATGGCTCTGATTATGTAGAAGATGTAATCGCATTCTTTCGTGAAGCAATTGACATCTATGTGCCTCGTGATTCCATGGTAGCGTGTCACCCTCTAGGCCCAATTCGCGACATCAAAACCCCCCAGCCATTATTGGGAAATTTGTCTATTTTGATGTCAAAGACCATATCTGGGCAAGGAAGCATTTTTTACGACATTATCTCAATCAGATCAATAAAAAACCTGTATACCTTTTTGAGAGACTGACAAAGAGAGATTCGGATTTACTCGACTATATGAAAGGCCTTAATTTGAAAACAACAACGAACAACTCCGCACCGCAAGTCTTTATAAAGCGTGAGAACGGGAAGGTGTTCACTCATAATGTTGCAGACTCGGTTGATGCGAAAACGTTGCTTGCTTCTGGAAAAGCGCAAATTTTAGCAAAGAAGAGAAAATCAATTTTTCAATTAGGAAATCAAGATGCAACGATGAGGCTAAATGTCAACACGACAACGCCAAAACGAGTGTCTCCGCCAACTCCCGGGTGGGATCAGCAAATCCTTGATTATGTTAAAAAGCACAGACATGGACCTGAAAAAATTGTGCAGTATGTTGATAACTTAGCAAAACAATCTCCTCAAACTGAGCTTCATTCTTATGTTAGCAATACTCAAGTGTGTTTACTGTAGAAGACAGTGGTTAACTATTTAAGACAAGACAGCCTCAGTAGGGACTTTTATTCAATCTCATTTTTATTTTATTTCGTTTTAAGTCCCCATCGTCATTTACCCAATTTCTTGAGGATGTTTCATTACTAAATGTTAACGTGCGATCACTTAAATCTAATTTTGAAGCCTTTAAAGTAAGTCTTGAGCAACTTGCAATAGCCCCATCTGTTATCGCTGTCACTGAAACTTGGCTGAACCCTAATGATTCAGCCGAGTTGTTCAATTTGCAAGGATACAAGTTTTTCTCGAGCCCTCGGCTGAGCAGAGGTGGAGTAGGTTTATATATACGAACGGAGCTTAATACAAGCCAGTTAGTGGAGGTGTCTGCAGGAGAAATTTTAAAAATAGAGGTTGTAGCAGGTGATAAAACGGCAACGGCTGTAACTGTGATATATCGTCAACCGTCAATGAGGGTCGAGGATATTGTCCACAAACTAGAAAAGGTCTTAACCGAAGCCAAGTCGAAAAAGAGACATGTGATTATGGGAGACTTTAATATTGTTATGATGAAAAAACACAAGGCAAGAGATGATCTTACTGAAATGTTCAGTTCTTTCGGTTATCATTTGTTGTCACCTCTGTTACCGACACGAGTAACTTCAAAAACAAACTCTTGTATCGATCATATTTGGGGAAATATTGGAATTAACAATAGTTGCATACACCGCTGGGGTCCAGCCGATCATTTCATCTCTATGCCAAAATTGGTTAGTAGATATAAAAGAAAATTTAGCTTTAGAAATATGAAAGTTTTTGAAAATGATGATACATGGTTAAGGTTTGCGTTCCTCTTACAGTCCAAACTGAAGGAAGTTGATGGTACCTTATCCGATTTGGATAAATCTGCTGAAAATTTCTCTGAAATAATTCTCAGTTGCATTGATAGATTTGCTCCCTCTCAAACTCGTTATGTGCCGAAAAATAACAAGTCCTGGGTGACAAATGAAGTGAAAAAAGTAGCAAACAAAAAAGCATCCGCATACAGGACATATATACAAAACCCTACAGAAGATAACAAGATCAAATATAACTCATTACGAAACAAATCCAATGCCCTGAATCGGAAATCATTCAGAAGATTCTGGAGATCTAAGCTAAATACAACAGACTCTCATAAGTATCACAAAGCGGTTGCAGCATATCTTGGAAAACATAAAAATGTAACGTTGCCAGATGATATAAATGAAAAAAAAATCAAGATATGAACAATTTTTTTGTAAATATTGGTCCAAATCTAAGTGATAAAATTCGAGTTGCAGATCCTATTTCATTAGAAAATGTTGATTATTCAATGTTCTTTCCGAGTATAAAGGAAACAGAAATAGAATAAATAATAACAGAATTACCAAATAAACTCAGCTCGGGTTGTGATTGCATCAATACAGCAATAGTCAAATTATGTAAACCAATAATCACGCCATGGCTCACGAATGTTTTCAATACCTGCTACACAAATGGGTGCTATCCGAAATACTTAAAAATTGCTAAAGTTTTTCCGATTCATAAAGGTGGATTGCAAGACGAATATGGAAATTATCAACCCATATCTTTGTTATCAACGCTGTCAAAAATCTTTGAGAAGACAATTCATATCAGATTAAGTAGTTATTTGGAAAATTGCAAGTTGCTCAGTACAAATCAATATGGCTTCCGTAGTAAATTAAGCACAGTTAAAGCGGTTCTAGATCTAACAGAAGAGGTTCGTAACCTGAGAGATCAGAAGAAAAAAGACGTTATGTTAGTTTTATTAGATCTGAAAAAAGCTTTTGACACTGTCAATCATGAGATCTTAATTGATAAATTAGATCGGTATGGAGTAAGAGGAAAGTCTCTGGAAATTCTAAGAAGTTACTTGTCTAATAGGAAACAGTATGTTGTCCTTAATCAATTTAAAAGCGAATTGAAAGACGTTTTGTGCGGGGTGCCACAGGGTTCAGTCTTAGGACCGTTGCTTTTTTTGATCTATATCAATGACCTTCCCAGAATTGTAAGAAATTGCCGACTTTCTTTGTTTGCTGACGATACATCTGTTATTTAAAACAAAAACGCTTCCCTTGATGACTTTCAAGAGGATCTAAATCGAATAGATAATTGGATGAAGTTTAATAAACTTACCGTAGAAGGATCGAAGTCTAAGCTACTAATTTTTTCAAAATCCAAAGCTGATGCTATATATTTCGCAGACACTTGTTTACAACCCGTTGCTAGCTGCAAATATCTAGGCATTGAATTGGATAATAAACTATCCTTCAAAGATCATATTGAGACTATACGGAAAAAATTAACCCGCTTCTGCGGAGTTGCATACCGGCTTCGTAATGTGATGACCATTTCACAAATGGTCATGTACTACAAAACTTATGTACAATCTTGTGTTCAATATGGAGTTCTTGTTTATGGAGCAGTTTGCAAAAGTGCATTAGATGTTATTCATAAACTACAAAAACGATTTTTTCGTATAATTTTCCCAAAAGTTATCGTGACTCGATAACGGAAATAATGGCCAAAAGCAAAATTGCTACTGTATACGAGTTACATGTATATGAAATTCTAAAGAAAATAGTTAATGAAGAATTGTCTCAGAAATGTGAAACTATTTTTTATACAACGAGGTCATCAGTAAAGGGTGCTCGTATTTTACCATCAATGAAAAGTAAGCTTAAATATAACTCTGTTTCCCATCGTGTTGCCAAATTAATCAATATATTAGCCAATTGGTGTGTAACTATACCTCCTTCCTTTGAAACCCATCATTCAAAAAATGCTTTCTGTCATTCAATCTTAGATTCATATATAATAGGAAATTGCCATTTGATTGATAAATTATATCGCTAGACTTGAACTAATCCATTCTAACTTCCCTGAGTGCTCGGTTAGACCTGATAACCTCTCGTCGAAGGTACCAGGCAGTGGACTCTAGGAAGGGGAGTTAGAAAAAAGCGAACAACTGGATTACCAGCTCTTAAGAACTGGGCCCACTTGCTCGCTAGTTAAATTAACAGTCATTATTTCGCATCCGCCCGCTGTCAGTTGCATACCCTTGTAAGTATAAGCTTGCATCATATCTCTGGTTCTCATGTTAAAGAATAAAGATCTTAAATTTAAAAAAAAAGAGTGATTGCACTATTTATGTCTCGTTTTTTTTTCGCTTTAAATTTGCCTCTTTGACCTAAATTATTTATTGAACCTTTTGATCTGATGTCATATGATATGATTCCTTTACGGGGCAACCTTCAACAAGCCTCTCGTTGGCTTTCTGGTTGTCCTATCATGAGTTATCTTTGAATTTTTGCATATTGTGTTATGATAATTTGATTACTCATGATGAATATTTAAATGAAATAAATAAATTTTTGTTCTGATCTCTCAAGCAGTGAGAACTAACAACTATTTTTGTGTTGCAATCAAATTGAGAGAAACTATAAACATACTAGCAGTTCAAGGTTTTGTCTGCGAATGATTTCAATTTTTATCATAGTTTTGAGAAAATGCTGCCAAAAAACTTGAGGCAGTTATACCAGGTTTCTTAAAATGACATTAATACGAAGTTTTTCATCTCTCATACAAAATAATTAAAAGTGAAATTACTGTCGTACTCTATTATTTAAAACATTAAATATCCCTGAAACTTCGAGATTTAAATTTCAGTTCGATTGGTTTAAAAACACTTATCCACATTATATCAAAAAAAGCTCAGCATATACATACGCGCAATTATTTCGGTAGTTTCCTGGTGTTAGTAAGTTTGCAATTTTTCTGCAAAATCCGGTGTAATATTTTGTAAATCATCTGCTAGAGACTTGCAGAAAATATGAAAAGCATTTGAAAAAATGGTAAGCAAAATTTTGCTAACCTTGCATGAAGAAAGCAAATGTTGCAAGAATTTGCTGCTATATCCTTTATTTCTTTCATTTAATATTTGTTCAAACTCTTTTATTATTTCTTTCTGATGTCTTTTGTTTTTCGATTCTCGATGTAGAGCTCACCGGGAAAATATACGAAGAATTAAATTTAGCTCAGTATCTCTGAAACCTGTGTGAAAAGATGACATTTCAACAATTCCATAACTTAAATGAGCGAAAATTTAATTTCCAATTTGTAGAGAGACAACTTAAATATTTGAACTAGTCGCTCCCAGCTGCCGCCAAAATGAGGCCCCGCTGGAGGTTTGACAACCAATTCTATATCTATGTCCATGAGCGATAGTTTGTCTTTGAAATCAGAACTTCGAGCTAATTCGTTCACTAAGCTCGTCAGAACTTTGTTCGATCTGACGAAAGGAAATCTGTTGTACGATGTTTTTTCGGCTTTCCGCGCCGACAAACGAAAGTCTGATGCAATGACTTGTGCTGTCAGTAGGTGATACTGTTACTTCTACGCCAGATGCGCTGGATGGTTGACTGATTATGAAATTATTATGAAGCAAGATGAAGCATCTGCGAAATATTGTGAACAAAGTTGTTTATGGAAAAAAATTCTACCTTATCGTTTGCAACTCGCTTGTTTATCGCAAGGTTTTAAAAAATACCTTTCATCAAAATATGAAGAAAACAAATATTATGTGATTAAGCAAAAACAACGCGAGACCAATAACTTCGCTAATTTCTCGCTTTTGCTGCGCATTGATCATATGTTTAAGAGCTGCAGATTAGTCAGCTTTGATAATTTGAACTGCCATTGGTTAGTGATTCAAGCCAGTCTATTACAAACTTATTCAGATGGTATCTTTCGTGGATTTTTCTTCTCAGCCAGAAATTGTCGTCCTCAATCTTATTCGCTTCCGTTTCGCTGAAAAACTACGAGAAAATGTCGCAATGAGCTTTCAGAGTTCGCGCATACTCGAAACATCGGCTAGTTTGAGCTGCAGCAAACTTATGTTTTTGCCCATTCAGTCTCATTTAGTCTGCCATTGTACAAGCGTGTCTCCCGCTGTATTTAGCACGCCCCAAAAATGTATAGGAGACTGTTTTTTTAGGCCACTCTTCAGTGATATTTTTCGAGGTTTGCTTTCTTTTTTGGCGCGTTTATTTTTTTTAGTCAATTGAATTCTGTCTTCTTAGGTTTCCTGAATTAACCAAACGAGTTCCAGCAACATTTTCTAGATCACAAACTGGCTTAGAAGGACCTGGACATAGATTTTTACAGGGCCGCATATCGATGCGAAGCCAATCTGCTAGCTCTGTGTGTAATCGGCTATGATAATTTTTCACTTTTTTTTGCAATTTCATGGAGAATTTTCACAATGAATTCCAGCGATCAGGGTCCAAAACTTACATTTCCATACAATATGTCCACGTAGACCTGCAGTTATCCCAAGACAACTTAAATGCATAACATTATCACAGAAATATCAGTGAGTTTGATTACAGCTTTTGATTACAGCTGAATATTGATACGAATAACAATTCTTTTCTAGTCTTTTCTGCGCAAAAGCGTATCGCAAAATCATCCTTTATCATCTGATTAATTCGCTATTTTGTCTTCAGATCTGGAAATTGACATATTTTTAATGATGAAAGTTTTTTTTAAACCGTAGAACCGATCCCATTAAACTTTATCAACATATGTCGACTCCAAAAAAGTCAGTGACAGAAATTGAATTATTATTTCATTTCGGATTTCTTCAGGCCCTAAAAATGATCCTATGCTAGCAAAAATGCCGTCAATGAAAGTTGAATAGGGTGAAACACATGCGTCTGTACTAGGACCACTGTTGTTTTTTTATCTAAATAAATGACCTGCCTCAGAGATGTCAAAATACAAACATATATCTGTTTGCTGACGACACAAACGTAATAGGTATTGGTAACTCGTCATACATAAGTCAAAAAAATTACATCGAACTTCGTCTTAGTTAAATTCCAACAAGCTTAAGCTGAACTTAAAAAAACTGTCAGGATATCTCTAGAATCTAGTGTTTCCAACACAAGGCTCAATTATCCGTTTGTTTTGAATAAAAAATGTATCAGTAAGCTAAGCTCGTGAAAGTATTTAGCAATGAAAATTGATCAACATTTTTATTTTAACTTTCATGTTGCCTACGCAGTACAGAGAATCGGAAAACAATATGGAATTATTAGTAAACTAATACACTTTGTCCCAAGATGGCAATGCAAAAACCTATCATGCAGTATCGAGTCCACATCTATGGATGCTGTAAATTCTGTGCATGAAGCCAGTTTATTTGCTGCATAAAAATACTTGAAATCATGCACTTCAGACGGCAAAGCGATACAGCTGAAGACCTTCTCCGGCAAAATTCAATTTTAATTTTATATGAATTACATGTAATGAATCAATAAATCTTTACTCAAAGTTTGCTTTGAACGAATTGCTTGAAAAATCTGCGCGGACCACTAGTAGTTCTTTCAACAGATTCTTGAAAGCGCATTCTCGAACTGTTTTTGAGATTCAGAGGTGCTCACTTTTATAACCTTTCCATGGAAATCGGAGTTATATCTGACTACTCAGATTCCTTAACTGAAGAACAAGTTAAGAAACGCTTTCACGATATCAAAGACCGTTACATACATAACAACAATGAACTAACTCAAAAATGAAACAGATTTTTGATTAACTATGAGCCCACGCAAAAACTTAATGGTGCCTTCGTCGAAGGCATCGAGGGTTCAAAAAATGGTAATAAAATTTTGAGTTTGAAACCAAGCTTCTAAATTCCGCGTGAGAGTATTGATGTTTTCTTTCTATTTTTCATGTCTCACTCAAATTAGTTGTGTGCTATACCATTATTCGTCCGACAGCTAAAAATCGTGGTTGTGCAAGACAAATCTTTTTATCTAAATGTCTCAAAAAAGTTCTGAACGAACAAAAAAAAATTTAAAAAAAAGCGATAAAACCAGTTCATTCTGGTACTTTGAGAAAAATTTCGTTTGCAAATTTATTCAGCCAGGCAAACTAGGTCGGGTTCCTTTCTTACACAGTTTCATAGCTCAATACAGATTTGCCTGGCTGTGTTCCTATTAAATGTTTGTTAAGAGTCCTTTCATTTTACGAACAAAAATTATGAATAAACATCTTTTTTTTTCTCTTACAAAAACAAGAAGTATCATAGGGAAGACTGTAAAGTCGACATTAGACCCGTTGTCTCTCCTTTGAAACGATTTGGAGAAATAAGTTTCTTAATCTTTCTTCTTTCAAATGTTCTCTATCTGATTGTGGTCTTTTCGAATTTCTTAAACGAGTCCACATGATCAACAAAAAATTCTATAACTGGTAGACACCCAGACAATTTTGGACCAAATTGAAGAAAAAAATTCAGCGGAAATAAAACGTAACTTCAAACGAAAACACTAAACCGTGGAAAAATCAGCACAAATCCAAATTGGTCGATATGCATACAGTTATCAAAAACCTAGATCCGATATTTAGGCCGGGATCAACGAAAATTACATTTCGTTCACTAAGCCAAATAAATTAGAGCCGAAAATCAATAAGCCAACAAAAAAGATAAAATGCATTTTGGCAAGTAAAAACAATGATAGCGCGCAAAATGAATAGTCAACAAATCAAAAGTTAAGAACTTGAATTGTACTAAAATAATTTAGTTTCGAAAAAAACTTGAGAAATAAAGAAGGAAAAAAGTTTTGAAAGAAAAGTTTTTGTGTGAAAAGTTTTCCATAAGTGTTCGAAACTGCCAATTCACTGCACAAACCAACAGCACTTCAGAACTCACCTTGTACAGTCTTGCGGCTATTCTCCTGAGTAGGAGAGGGAAGAGCGAGATGTCCTTGATAGCCCAGAGGGTGAGCTCCGGAGGAGTGAGTACCACGCTTGCTGTCTCCTCCCAACTTGTCAAGTCCAACAGGGGAATTTCATTATCACACATCTACAAATTACAGGGGTCATATCACAATCGTGACTATTCACATGACTAAGAATGACAAATATGTCCAACATAACCATTTAATGATTACATAGCAAAAAGTCCTAAAGTAGACACGTTATAAAGTAGACAACTTCCATATTAACCAATCAGAATCGAGAACACAAACCAAATTTAAAAAGTAAACTATTAGTTCTTATTTATTTCCTAAGTTTGCTTTCTGTTCTCGATTCTGATTGGTTAATATAGTATTTATCTACTTTTTGACCGGTATGAAGCAAAGGTTGTCTAATTTTTGACCGCACTCCCCCTTTAATCAAAAACTGGTTAAACCAATTATTTTTTCAAACAAGGATTGTTAAAATGATTTAACTATTAACCAATTGAGGATCTCTTTAAGTATTTCCCCCATATGGCATTTAGTAGCGAATTGAGGGCCCTTTATAGAGCTAACGCAACGGTCAAGCATATGTGACCTCTGTACCCAGTAACGAATCACAGGGGGAGTACCATAGGGGGATTAAGTAGATGTAAAATAATAATTATATTGATTTCGCACATTTGTTTTTTTAATCTCGATTGTGATTGGCTACTATACGACGTGTCTACTTTATGATACGTCTACTAATGTAAACGGCTAATAAACATTTTATGGCATTCGACACTTCTAGCACGAGGGGTTCCCATGGTCGCTTTAATCGGAACACCGAATATTGAAAACGATGAATTACTCTTAGATACTATTTGCAAAAACCCACTGAAATTGATTTCACCTAAAATGGGAAATCTTCCTTTCTTCACTATGGTTTGCAGAGTTGTCGAATTAGCGAGAATTTCTAGCACATCTATATTTTATTCAAAGGCGAACGAGTTCTACGAAAAGCGTTAAGTAAAATTTCAAGAAAACTTTCAATCGTTGTTTTGGATATTATTTTGGAGTGTAGAAAAAAACTGTACCGCATGTCATTTTACCACTTGGCGTAAAATAAATCCAGAGATTGTTCTCACCTTCTGTATGATCTCGAGTATGAACACTTGTCTGTTCAGCAGAGTGGACACCATGTAAACTATAGAAAGAGCCACGCGGGGCAAAGGACGATAAGATCCATTATGATCACTCACTGAAAATAAAACGGAAGACAAAATAAATAAAGCGAGACCTGGTAAGTAAATAAACCAACGACTAAAAAACATCATATTCCAGAGTCAAAATGTTATACTTTCCCAAAACCTTTCATACAAAATCAAAATCTGGAAGTTAACTTTTCACATTTTCGTAAAATTCAGTAACAAAATCAAACAAAAAATAACACAGAATATAAGCAAGAGAAAAAAATATATAATAGAAAAAAAGACTACTTAAAGTAAGCTTTGTACAAAAACGATGAAGTCGACAGTAACAATGACCGAATTATATTTTTTTCTAAGCTGGAAGTACCTGCTTGATATTCTGTGAATTTGTTATACTGATGCGGGATGAAATGGGTAGTTACAACAATTGGACTTTGCAGAAAACCTCAGTTGTTTTCCCAAGGACAACATTTTCCTTAGAAAAAATTAACGAGCCGGGGCTTCTGCAGGAAAAATTCTCGCCACAGATTTTTCTCCATTGAACCCTTCATCTCAGATTTGATAGGGTAGCTTTTTAGGAAAAGTCAAAACAATTCTAAAAACGGTCAACAACAGTTCAAAAACTTGTCTTTCCGAAATCAAACTTAACTTTCCGCAAAAAGTAGGTAGTGACCGTTTAAGCAGAGAAGATTCTTAAAACGCACGGTATTTTCGAGTAAAGTGGCAGCTTTTGTAGGTAGGTTTTAAAAAATCTGATATTTCGTAAAAACCTGAATAACAGAATTGGCAGGATAGCTTTCGAGAAATGACAAAAAAGTTTCCAAAATCTGTCAACAAATCAAAAATCTAACTTTTCCGAGAATTATAGTTTTTTGAGTAAAAAACTTCGACCTACCCCGTCAGTAGACCCTGTTATTTCGATTGCACCCAAAAACAAAGATTAGAGAATGTGTTGAGGGAACGAAAAAAAATTCTAGAATTTGGGTCAAAACTTCCCCAGCAAACACTTTCGAAAACCGCAGAGTGGAAAAAAAAATAAAAATAGGTTGAGATTTACGCAGGTGCATAGAGAAGCAACCTATCTTTTGTAGGCTTTTGTAGGTATCTTTCCAAGGATAACCGTTTTTTGAAAATCGGAGAGGATTTTTTTGAGAAAAACTAAAAACGATAGAAAAAACTCAATTCTATACATCTTCATAATACCGGTTTTTATCAAACAGGAATTCCACAAAATAAACAAAGCCAGATATTTGAATTTCAAATAAGCAACGGAACAGAAAACGAAGCAGAAACAAAGCCGACAATATTTGAGCAAAAACCAGTTGCGCCGTCAAGTATAATGAAGGAAAAAAGAAAAGTCTCAGAAAACAAAAGTTGAGAGTCACCAAGACGGTCAAAAACAATTTTAAATTTTTAAGCAAAAACCAGTTGCGTCGTCAAGTATAATGAAGGAAAAAAGAAAAGTCTCAGAAAACAAAAGTTGAGAGTCACCAAGACGGTCAAAAACAATTTTAAATTTTTAATCAAAAATTTGATTTTTCAAGCGACACAAATCAAAGTAACTAAGACGATAATTAAGATTTTAAGCGAAACGAAAACAAATACATTATACAATAAGGCTAAGAATTTTGTAAATAATAGTAATCCACTTGCATCTACGACAAAAACTGCTGACCACAGAAGAAAATTCCACAGAGCCGACAAATATATTTATATGAAAAAGTAAAATGAAAAAGTTCAAAAGCTTCCAAAAAACTTTAACAAAAATTCTTGGACCGGTATTATTTGCACACAAAAAAGTTTCCAAAATCTGTCAACAAATCAAAAATCTAACTTTTCCGAGAATTATAGTTTTTTGAGTAAAAAACTTCGACCTACCCCGTCAGTAGACCCTGTTATTTCGATTGCACCCAAAAACACAGATTAGAGAATGTGTTGAGGGAACGAAAAAAAATTCTAGAATTTGGGTCAAAACTTCCCCAGCAAACACTTTCGAAAACCGCAGAGTGGAAAAAAAATAAAAATAGGTTGAGATTTACGCAGGTGCATAGAGAAGCAACCTATCTTTTGTAGGCTTTTGTAGGTATCTTTCCAAGGATAACCGTTTTTTGAAAATCGGAGTGGATTTTTTTGAGAAAAACTAAAAACGATAGAAAAAACTCAATTCTATACATCTTCATAATACCGGTTTTTATCAAACAGGAATTCCACAAAATAAACAAAGCCAGATATTTGAATTTCAAATAAGCAACGGAACAGAAAACGAAGCAGAAACAAAGCCGACAATATTTGAGCAAAAACCAGTTGCGCCGTCAAGTATAATGAAGGAAAAAAGAGAAGTCTCAGAAAACAAAAGTTGAGAGTCACCAAGACGGTCAAAAACAATTTTAAATTTTTAAGCAAAAACCAGTTGCGTCGTCAAGTATAATGAAGGAAAAAAGAAAAGTCTCAGAAAACAAAAGTTGAGAGTCACCAAGACGGTCAAAAACAATTTTAAATTTTTAATCAAAAATTTGATTTTTCAAGCGACACAAATCAAAGTAACTAAGACGATAATTAAGATTTTAAGCGAAACGAAAACAAATACATTATACAATAAGGCTAAGAATTTTGTAAATAATAGTAATCCACTTGCATCTACGACAAAAACTGCTGACCACAGAAGAAAATTCCACAGAGCCGACAAATATATTTATATGAAAAAGTAAAATGAAAAAGTTCAAAAGCTTCCAAAAAACTTTAACAAAAATTCTTGGACCGGTATTATTTGCACACAAAAAAGTTTCCAAAATCTGTCAACAAATCAAAAATCTAACTTTTCCGAGAATTATTGTTTTTTGAGTAAAAAAACTTCGACCTACCCCGTCAGTAGACCCTGTTATTTCGATTGCACCCAAAAACACAGATTAGAGAATGTGTTGAGGGAACGAAAAAAAATTCTAGAATTTGGGTCAAAACTTCCCCAGCAAACACTTTCGAAAACCGCAGAGTGGAAAAAAAATAAAAATAGGTTGAGATTTACGCAGGTGCATAGAGAAGCAACCTATCTTTTGTAGGCTTTTGTAGGTATCTTTCCAAGGATAACCGTTTTTTGAAAATCGGAGAGGATTTTTTTGAGAAAAACTAAAAACGATAGAAAAAACTCAATTCTATACATCTTCATAATACCGGTTTTTATCAAACAGGAATTCCACAAAATAAACAAAGCCAGATATTTGAATTTCAAATAAGCAACGGAACAGAAAACGAAGCAGAAACAAAGCCGACAATATTTGAGCAAAAACCAGTTGCGCCGTCAAGTATAATGAAGGAAAAAAGAAAAGTCTCAGAAAACAAAAGTTGAGAGTCACCAAGACGGTCAAAAACAATTTTAAATTTTTAAGCAAAAACCAGTTGCGTCGTCAAGTATAATGAAGGAAAAAAGAAAAGTCTCAGAAAACAAAAGTTGAGAGTCACCAAGACGGTCAAAAACAATTTTAAATTTTTAATCAAAAATTTGATTTTTCAAGCGACACAAATCAAAGTAACTAAGACGATAATTAAGATTTTAAGCGAAACGAAAACAAATACATTATACAATAAGGCTAAGAATTTTGTAAATAATAGTAATCCACTTGCATCTACGACAAAAACTGCTGACCACAGAAGAAAATTCCACAGAGCCGACAAATATATTTATATGAAAAAGTAAAATGAAAAAGTTCAAAAGCTTCCAAAAAACTTTAACAAAAATTCTTGGACCGGTATTATTTGCACACAAAAAAGTTTCCAAAATCTGTCAACAAATCAAAAATCTAACTTTTCCGAGAATTATAGTTTTTTGAGTAAAAAACTTCGACCTACCCCGTCAGTAGACCCTGTTATTTCGATTGCACCCAAAAACACAGATTAGAGAATGTGTTGAGGGAACGAAAAAAAATTCTAGAATTTGGGTCAAAACTTCCCCAGCAAACACTTTCGAAAACCACAGAGTGGAAAAAAAAATAGGTTGAGATTTACGCAGGTGCATAGAGAATCAACCTATCTTTTGTAGGCTTTTGTAGGTATCTTTCCAAGGATAACCGTTTTTTGAAAATCGGAGAGGATTTTTTTGAGAAAAACTAAAAACGATAGAAAAAACTCAATTCTATACATTTTCATAATACCGGTTTTTATCAAACAGGAATTCCACAAAATAAACAAAGCCAGATATTTGAAATTCAAATAAGCAACGGAACAGAAAACGAAGCAGAAACAAAGCCGACAATATTTGAGCAAAAACCAGTTGCGCCGTCAAGTATAATGAAGGAAAAAAGAAAAGTCCCAGAAAACAAAAGTTGAGAGTCACCAAGACGGTCAAAAACAATTTTAAATTTTTAAGCAAAAACCAGTTGCGTCGTCAAGTATAATGAAGGAAAAAAGAAAAGTCTCAGAAAACAAAAGTTGAGAGTCACCAAGACGGTCAAAAACAATTTTAAATTCTTAATCAAAAATTTGATTTTTCAAGCGACACAAATCAAAGTAACTAAGACGATAATTAAGATTTTAAGCGAAACGAAAACAAATACATTATACAATAAGGCTAAGAATTTTGTAAATAATAGTAATCCACTTGCATCTACGACAAAAACTGCTGACCACAGAAGAAAATTCCACAGAGCCGACAAATATATTTATATGAGAAAGTAAAATGAAAAAGTTCAAAAGCTTCCAAAAAACTTTAACAAAAATTCTTGGACCGGTATTATTTGCACACAAAAAAGTTTCCAAAATCTGTCAACAAATCAAAAATCTAACTTTTCCGAGAATTATAGTTTTTTGAGTAAAAAACTTCGACCTACCCCGTCAGTAGACCCTGTTATTTCGATTGCACCCAAAAACACAGATTAGAGAATGTGTTGAGGGAACGAAAAAAAATTCTAGAATTTGGGTCAAAACTTCCCCAGCAAACACTTTCGAAAACCGCAGAGTGGAAAAAAATAAAAATAGGTTGAGATTTACGCAGGTGCATAGAGAAGCAACCTATCTTTTGTAGGCTTTTGTAGGTATCTTTCCAAGGATAACCGTTTTTTGAAAATCGGAGAGGATTTTTTTGAGAAAAACTAAAAACGATAGAAAAAACTCAATTCTATACATCTTCATAATACCGGTTTTTATCAAACAGGAATTCCACAAAATAAACAAAGCCAGATATTTGAATTTCAAATAAGCAACGGAACAGAAAACGAAGCAGAAACAAAGCCGACAATATTTGAGCAAAAACCAGTTGCGCCGTCAAGTATAATGAAGGAAAAAAGAGAAGTCTCAGAAAACAAAAGTTGAGAGTCACCAAGACGGTCAAAAACAATTTTAAATTTTTAAGCAAAAACCAGTTGCGTCGTCAAGTATAATGAAGGAAAAAAGAAAAGTCTCAGAAAACAAAAGTTGAGAGTCACCAAGACGGTCAAAAACAATTTTAAATTTTTAATCAAAAATTTGATTTTTCAAGCGACACAAATCAAAGTAACTAAGACGATAATTAAGATTTTAAGCGAAACGAAAACAAATAAATTATACAATAAGGCTAAGAATTTTGTAAATAATAGTAATCCACTTGCATCTACGACAAAAACTGCTGACCACAGAAGAAAATTCCACAGAGCCGACAAATATATTTATTTGAAAAAGTAAAATGAAAAAGTTCAAAAGCTTCCAAAAAACTTTAACAAAAATTCTTGGACCGGTATTATTTGCACACAAACAGAATAAATCGATAGCACTTTCAAATAATGCATTTAATGAAGCGTAAAAGCTTGAATCAATTTCAGACGAAAAAACAAGAACGAAGTCGAAACAATTCAATGTATACTAATCTCAACTTGTATTTTAGCTGTCAATTTTTTATTAGAAGTTGAGAAATTTTTATGTTGCTTCAAAAAAACAACATCAAAACTTTTCAACAATTACTAGTTTAAAGTTAGAAAGCTTTTACAATACAAGCTGAGGTTAGCGTACATTGAATTTTTTCGAGTGCGTTGTTTTTTCCCCTGGAATTGATTACAGGTTTTTGCGCATGTTTCAATTATTAATTAAAAGTCCTATCAATGCATTGTCCTTCAACTTTCAACAGCATCAAAGGAACGAAATAAAAACGAGAAAAAACGGACACCTATAAATCATGCTAAAAACTTCGACAATAACCAGAAACTTTCCAAATAAAGAATTTTTACATTTTCTAAAAAAGCGAAACAAAAAACTAAAGAAAAAAATTGCTCCAAACGCTTCAAAATTACAACTGAGAAAATAACTGAGTTCCCAACATATTGACAGAGACGCAAAGCTGCGCTTCGCAAGCACTAGCGAGAACACGACAAAGAAGCAGCTTTATAGAGTGACAAAAAATTAGCCTCGAATTAGTACAACATTGCTACGTATCGGACTCAAATCTGCGACCCTGAAATTTGCAACCTCACGCCCTGCCCTCTCGGCCACGTAAAATTAACAATCGGCAAACACTAGTCACGTATAGAACAGTTACATTTGCTAATAAATTGCAATCAGGGTGACCACTTCGGGCGTGAAAAAATACAGACAGCCTGAATACGCAGCAAAAACTAGTATTCCACAAAAAATTTATTTCGAATGATAGTTTAAATTACAACAAAAAAGAACAAAATGATTCTTTCAAGATCACGTTTACAATCTTCGCTGAAATGTCATCTGATCGGGAATTAATTCCCCTTTGTTCGTTTTGGAGTCGCTCTTTCTTCTCCTTAATATTTTGAAGGACTTTTTCGGCTTCTGCCAATTCTTTTTCTGTTTCTGACAGTTCGCGCTTGAGGACTTTTGACGATCTCCGTTGGTAAATACCAATTTGCCGACGCAACTCGTTGCTTTTCACTTTCAATTTGTCTTCCTCTTTCATGCGCTGCTTCTCAGATTCCTTATAAAGATGGCTTGCTGCAGACATCCGATTCAGAAGAATTTGGGACGGAATGTATTTCTCAAAGGACTCTCTGTCGAAGAAATCAGAAACAAATCTTAGACTGTCGTAAAGATCAGCGCCAGTTCCTGGTCGAAAAACGCCCTCGCTAAATTTCATTTTCGAAAATCCGGCTTCGACAATCATGTTATGAGGAATAACTATTTTTATTGATTGCACGAGACGGCGAAGAGTGGGAGAGGTTGAAAGGAGAGACTGAGTAAACATGGCGTCAAGGGAAGCTTCATTGGTGTGTTCCAGACAAACACTAGCAAGCTCATCTAATGCTTTGACTCCGTTGCAATGCACGTACTTGCATAGGTTACCCAGAACTCTGTTATACTTGTCGGAACTCTGCGTTTCATATATAATATAGCATCTGCGAACGATCGGAGAAAGAAGAAACGGCGAAAATCGGTCAAGTTCCAGTTTAAATTTGTCCAGCACAGAGAGAGTTGCTTCATAGAGGGAATTCGAGTCTACCAACCTCAGCGAGTTTCGAATAGAAGGCTGTCTAGGAAGCGCCGCTGCAGCATCGATATGGATTTTCTGCTTCTCATGTTGCCCCAACTGAATCGCACCATTGCGCACACTGATCAACTTCCCGTCTAACGAGCGCTTTGCCTGTTCCGGCCGACCGGGCACAGCCGCAGCCCATCGGTATTTTTCTCGCATCTGCTGACAGAAGACACATGGCATATCTGAAACATATTTAACATTGGTAGGAACCCTGATTAAAGCAGAATGTCAATGAAACCTTTGCCCCAGCAATGAAATACAGACCAATGTAAAAAAACAGACTTTACAGACCGGTCTGTACTTACAGACCAAGTGGTCACCCTGATTGCAATACGATGCAGCAAAAATGGCACCAAAGACAAACAATTTTGCAGGTAATGATTTGGAATATAAAACAAGCTGAAGGCATGCACACTCATTTTTCTGGTAATAAATTGGTAATCATGGAGCCACATTATGTAAAAATAATTCATTTCAAAAAAAAATGCGAGATATATTGTGGCACCAATATTTGCGACTTGGGTTGGAAAAAAGAATAGTCGTACTATTACACTACGCTTGCTAGAGCTCGATGGTGTGAATACTCGTCCATAGAACATTTAAAACCATTAGAATTACATGCTCGATATGCGGGGTAAGATATCACTTTCTCCAACAACGTGATGGAAAAGGTGACAAAAATATTTGAAGGAAAAGTTCATCGCGCGACTATATGACACATGCTATATTAAAAAAGAAAAAAATTCCTGAAAAAAAGAAAGCAACTAAAAAGACCTAAATAAAAATCCTAATCTACAGCAAGCGGGAATATTATCAAAATGATTCCTGACACTCAGGCGCGGATCTAGGAATTTCTCGAGTGGGGCGGATTGTCTTTTTCTTTTTTAGGTCGAACAAATAGATTTTCTTTCTGTACTCTCCCAGACCACTATAAAAACCCTAATTTGACAAAACGTTCTGGGCCGCAGGCAGATTTTTGAAAACGGAGTTTTTAGGCACTTTTTGGAAAATTTCGACCAAATAATCGCTTTTTTTCGGAGCGCGCTCTCCCGAAAAATTAGTAACGCCTTTAGAAACATTTTAGGGTCAGTCAGCCAAAAATTGATATCTCAAAATAGTACAAAGGGGGGACCCTTTGGGTCGGCAGAGGATCAAATCCCTGCGGGGGTGGGGGCGTCCGCTTCCCCCTACTGCTGATACTAATTGTTTTTGAGTACATACTCAAATAACTAACACGAAAAAAACTTGAAAAAGTTTACATAAACAAAACACACAAAAACTCTTTTTGTCAGAATTACCTTGGAACCTTGCTTTCCTAAATTCATTCTCTTCTTCTTCAAGCGGAACAAACTTTTCCTCATTTTCCTCATCAAGTTGTTTTTTGAGCTCATTTTCCAGCTGATTGTTGGGGGAGGATTTCTTAGCCCCTATTTTCCTGTTGAACTGTTTGTTCCACTCGTGCGCATCTTCTAGCACTTCTATTTCCGTCTCGTCAAAGTGCAACAAACTCCAACTACTTCTGCTGTTTCTGTTCAGTTTCATACCACAAATAAACTGTAACATAAATTTAGCTAATCAAAAGATGGCCTACATGTTTTTGTCTCAATTTCTGAATTTAACAAAACTAAAAAGATCAAATTAAAACTCAAAACGAAACTCGAAATTAATTCGCTTGAAAAGAATTCGTCTCTTTCGACAATTTGTTTGATCATTTAGTTACAAAAATAGCGACACTTGAAAAAAACTTCGTGAAAGTATATAAAGCTACTGTTAGAAAGTAAAACGAACTGAAAAAAAGTTTGAACTGTAATCTAGGGGGTTTTGAGGCTAAAACAAAACTGTTTCAAACAGAGAAAAAATACAAAAGCATAAAAAAGTTTTTTCCAAAAAAGCGGCAAAAACAGTTCGTAACTACTGAACGAAGAAACTTTATTATATTTTTAAAGAACACTTAAGCATGATACATTCGTGAGCATGCAACCAAATCACCAAGAATGGAGACTAAATTTCAAGACTTAGGCTGACAGAGAAAGAACAACGGCCAAAATATTGGTGTCTTATAGAGATGCAAGTTGGAACAGACAAAATTAATTAAAAAGAACAAATAACTTATTTAAGACAATTTCGTAGGCAAAAGCTATTTTTTCAGAAAGTATACTGTCAAGGTCACCTAAAAAACTTAAATTTGCATGAAAAATTGCTAAAAATTGACAGATTGCGCTGTTAAATTAATTCAGTCTGTTCCAACCCTCTGCAACTCTATATTCGTTCTATTGCACTGCAGAACTTTGAAAAAAATCCCCCAACTCACTTCATGAAGACTAAATTTCTTCGCTTCTTTTGCAGATGTCGCTGATGAGTTGAAAACAACGCGGTAGTTACTCGTAGAACTCGGCTCACTATCGCTGTCTTGATTTTCTCGAATCAACCTCTTCATCATTTCGTCCAACAAAACATCCATTTCACTTTTGATCTCGTTCTCTTCACAGTCTAATTCATCTCCATCGAATTCATTGTCGCATTCGTTGGCATCGTCTTCTTCCAATTTGCTCTTTTTTCGTCTGTCTTTGCGACGCTCAAGTGCCAACCTTAACGTGAGTCTGCGTAGCCAGAAATCGTATAAGTATAGCAAGTAGAACTTGTCTTTGTGTCTAAAACGTGAAACGGCTTGAACAGTTATTAGAGAAATATTTTATCCCTGAACAAATGAAGCTTAGCTATTTCACCGCCGTTTTTCTTCAAAAATCTTCGAAAATAAGCTTTTATAGTCTAATTTTGAGTTCCAGGCTCTTTTCCGTTTCCACTCTTTGACTTTTCCAGTTCCAAAAGGATATTTAAAATAACTTTTGCGGTTAAAAATCAAATCGTACTGAAAGTGAGAACAAAACTTTACAACTTTTTTCTTCATTCAAACTGTGGTCTTAAAAGCTTTAGAGAGCCTTATACTGTAATTTTACAAGACGTAGGGCATCTTTTCCACCTCCCCCCCCCCCCACCTTTCAAGTTTTCTGTTTTTATAGCTGTTTCACGTGTTATTATGGCTAAACACGTAATGTTACAACGTACAGTATGAAAAACAAATCTGTTCACAGTTGTTAGTGTGTTCACCATGATAAGTTTCATTGGATTAGGACACCGCTAAAGAAGTTGGACCTACTTAACAATCCCCCCCCCCCCCCCCTATTGTATCTACTAAAGAATCTCCACCCCTGTAAATATAAACAGTAAACTCGCACTAAAGCGTTGTACGTAAATTCGAATTTTGCTGCATTCTGATTGGTCGAAAATTCGCTGCAAGTAATCTGAAAGGGGGGGATGAAAGGGGGGGGGGGGATTGTTAAGTAGATCCAAGAAATTTTTCAAAAGTGAATTTGACAGGTTGGGGGAAAGTCGAAAAGAACCAGTACATGACGCGGTTGTTTTTACGTCAGTAAAATTAGGCCCTAACTTGTGAAAGAAGAAGTCCCTCAGTGAAGAGTGTCTTCCCAGAGGGCCTCCGCCTGCCTCGGGCGAAGTGGACAACATCCACTCCTCGTAACTTCCCCAGACTTTCCACGCAAGACTACAAGCTTCTTGCTTTTCAGCTGAAATGACACGCAATCACGACAAACTGATGTATCGTCCAAGACTTTCAGATTTTGCGAAAACTAGAAAGGTTGCAAAAAAATATGGGACAAAACGAAAAGTTTTTCAGTAACACTCTAGCAAAACTTCAATAAATTAAGCTCACATTGATAATTTTCAAGCAAAAACTGTCCTATTTATAATCTTGCAAAAGAACTGACAACATACAGAAATGACACGACTGTAAGGGCTTTAATATATATCACTGAACCCAGTCCGATGTTTATTTGTGAAAACTAAAACACGACCGAATACAAAGTTCCTCCCCATTTTCAGTGTTCGGAACAATAAATCCAATTCAAAATGAGTTCGAAAAGAAGAAAATCTTCACAAATTTTCCGTTTTCGCAAAACTTTCAGGCACAAGATATTATGAAAATTGAACTTTCACTCAGCAGAAAGTTTCATGTTTGCAAATAGTGGACAGATCTTGTCTAAAGAATCGAGGTGGTCAGAATCAAACATTGAGTTTGAATCTAAAATGAAGCAACTTCTGTTTCATGAGCGAATTCTGTGAAAATAGGTCAGCGGAAAAAATCCAGTAACCATCCTTGCTAATCGCAAGGTAATGAATCTTAACGTATTTGTTAAAATTAATATTTCCCAAATATTTGAAATATTCACTTAAAACTGTACTACACTTAGCTGTACTGTGCAGAAACTTATTGTGAACGTATGGTAACTAACTTGGTCCTAGATGCTGGAAGGACACTTCCAAGTACTTCCTTAGAACTGTCTTCACAATTGAAAGAGTGTCGATTGGAGGAATCTCCTTGGCCAAATCCACCATCCGCTTAACTTTATCTTGAGCCTTCATGTAATGTTTGGCTGCGCCCTGGCTAGGCGTGAAATCATGTGCACCGTCAATTCCATCGCCTTTCATCTAAACTCAGTTCAAATACAATTACTCTTTAACTGAATCATTCTTAAGAAGCCGCCTATTGAGACCTCTTAAGTGTTTATTTTTCGAGAAAACTCAAAAATTGGCCATAACGCGCCTCGAGATAACCATAACGCGCCTCGGGTCATAACGCGCCTCGGGCCATAACGCGCCTCGGGCCATAACGCGCCTCGGGCCATAACGCGCCTCGGGCCATAACGCACCCCATTAAGGAAGGACATAACAAATTAAGCTGAGGAGAAAAAGAAAAGAGTGAACAACTCACCTGCGAGAATCCTGCTTCAACTTCTATCAGCTGTTGAGACTGTACAGAGCAAATTTTGCAGAAGTAGTGACCATCTAGCAGTTCGAACTCGGTCCCCTCGCAATTGTCACACACATTCGCCGCCATTGCCATTTCTGTCAAGCTCTACAGATATGATACGAACGAGAAATGTCCCCGAATAAACTATAACTTCTAGAAGCTTGTAGAACTACAACCTCATTTGAGAGATTCGCTTTGAGATGAAATAAAATCATAGAGCCGCCCTCGAATAAAATACATCCTTTTCAAAGCACAAAGAAAAAACACTTCTCCGTAAAACTGTTCCTTAACATCAAATAAATTATTAACACATAAGATATTTTACCCCGGAAACGAATGTTTTAAAATACTGTTCAAAATACTTGGCTTACGAATAGTAAATAAAAACATACCCAACAAAAGGTTGGAAAAATGTGAAAGGAGAAGAAAACCGAAAAAAAAATTGATTGAATTGACCAGTTTAAAGCTCTTTGAATTTCAATAAAAATTTTTGATTGATTTTTTTTGGATAAAATTACAAGTCAAAAATCACTTCGTTCTTTGTCACTGAAAAACACAGCTATCATGAAAAAGAATATATTAAAAAGTTTCACTAACTCACCCGATCAAGACTTCAATTCAAATTGTGTATTATAAAATCAGTTCGGCCATCGACTTTACCTGAAAAGATTTAGTAGTTAATGAAAGTAGGAGCCAGTCACATTAGCGGACTACGATACAAAACTGGTAATAACAATCACAGAATTGTCAAATATTAAGAATTCTTTCACAAAAAAAAGATTTTTTCGACTTTTTATTACAATAGAAAATAGATTTGGGAAATGGTTAAAGTAATATTAAGATTTAAAAAACCGAGTAAACAGTTGGAACGGAACTGTGCGTTGACAAAAAAAACTCACTTCTCACGTTCAAAAGTCACATTCTTTTCATAAATGTCTAATAAGGATGTCTAATGTCCTCCTATCGCCACTTGGATCGCCATTCTCGAGCTACAGAAGCTTCACCAGTTTTAGCTGCTTCACTTACCCTAGTTATCTCAGCTGATAGGCAGAACATATTGGAGTATTAGATATGCGAACGACTTAAAGATATTGCGCGAATCAATAATAAGTAATCTATGACTCATCGGTGTAAATTAGAACTGCTGTAGTATTTTGCAACACAGAGACGAGAGGGAGCTTCGCATCACTTGCGATACGAAACAAAAATAGCACAGAAAAAATTATTTAGTTAAAAAAGGCCAAAAAAAACAAGATTTACCAAAATTTTCAAAAGCTTTTCTCTTTTCGTGTCGAAAAAAAAATCTTCGTGAGAAAAACATGCCAAACCAACTAATTGAAACTTGAATTAACTTCAGAAAGAACTTACCAAGGCGGTAACAAGCCGGTTAGTACCAAACTTTCGACTTTACCTGAAAAGATTTAGTACTTAATGAAAGTAGGAGCCAGTCACATTAGCGGACTACGATACAAAACTGGTAATAACAATCACAGAATTGTCAAATATTAAGAATTCTTTCACAAAAAAAAAGATTTTTTCGACTTTTTATTACAATAAAAAATAGATTTGGGAAATGGTTAAAGTAATATTAAGATTTAAAAAATCGAGTAAACAGTTGGAACGGAACTGTGCGTTGACAAAAAAAACTCACTTCTCACGTTCAAAACTCACATTCATTTCAAAAATCTCTAATAAGAATGTCTAATGTCCTCCTATCGCCACTTGGATCGCCATTCTCGAGCTACAGAAACTTCACCAGTTTTAGCTGCTTCACTTACCCTTGTTATCTCAGCTGATAGGCAGAACATATTGGAGTATAAGATATGCGAACGACTTAAAGATATTGCGCGAATCAATGATAAGTAATCTATGACTCATCGGTGTAAATTAGAACTACTGTAGTATTTTGCAACACAGAGACGAAACGGAGCTTCGCATCACTTGCGATACGAAACAAAAATAGCACAGAAAAAAATATATAGTTAAAAAAAGGCCAAAAAAACGAGATTTACCAAAATTTTCAAAAACTTTTCTCTTTTCGTATCGAAAAAAAAAATCTTCGTGAGAAAAACATGCCAAGCCAAATAAATGAAACCTGAATTAACTTCAGAAAAAACTTACCAAGGCGGTAACAAGCCGGTTAATACCAAACTTTCGAAGCCCTCAAAACAGACACACACGCACACACACATACACACGAATATGAAACTTTTTGCGCTCGCCAACCAATACAATGTCAGACCACTACGCCGATATAAAACAAGCTGAACTTTTCAAACCAAATAACAAATAGAAAATAGTAAAAACGATATAATGAAATTATACCAAATGAGAGTTGGTAAATTAACAACTAATACAAGTAAAAAGCATGTTTCGAATACAAGGGGTGCTCAACATATGAACCACACCAACAACAAAACAATTTTGAGAAACTGATTCAGCTTTTTTCTAGGAAAAACTCTTTAACTGTAAAAAAAACCTTATGTTCCCATTGGATAACGCTTGTTAATCGCAAGCAGGAAAGAATTTGGAGATGCAAAATTTAAACTAGAAAGACATCGAATCAGTGGTCAAGCACTGAAAAATTCAAAATTGTCTTCAACAAATTTTACAGATATACATTGCTAAGAACTGCTGTAACAATTCTGATGCAATACCTATTCGCACTGCGACATCCTTTCCGACGCTAAAAAAACTGTTAAAACCAAATCAAGTTATTACACATAGGCTAAACGGAGTTACGCATCACTTGCGATACATTTCAGGCGTAGTATAACAATCTAGAGATTATGGAAACAACTGAGACGGAAACAACTAACTCTAAGCTGAAAAGGTATATTTGTTAGTATTAACCGAGTGGCACCAAGTTGAAAATAAGTGTTAGACGCCCACTGAACCGAAAACAGTTCAAAAATGCCATACGAAATTGTCAAAATTTTCTGAGCGATAATGTTTTCGAAAATTGAATTTTTACAGCTTAAATTACCCGATTTATAAACCATTTTGTTCTTCAAACGACACACAGTACTCAAAACAAGACAATCGGGTGCAACGGCAACCGCGTTACCTTTAACTATGTGGGAAGGCGTCTGGAAGTTTTTTGAGGTCAAAAAATCAAGTCCAATTTCTTACAGATTTATAAATAAAAATCTAGTTCCCTGTTACAAGACACTTGCTCATGCTTAAATTTAAGAAAAACTCCGTGCTGTGGCAAGTCTACGCGAAAAGGAAAGAAGCTTAAAATGTATCTATAGAAATGTATAAAAATCGTAACTTTTGTTAACAGGTTTAATGTCACTAGCACTAATCTCAGCTAGTATTTTAAACTTTTACAAAATTTAGGCACTCTTTCAAGCGTTTAGTCTCATGAACAAATCAAACCGTTCATCAGTTAATAAATAAACACAGAAAGGCAGCTGAAATTAAATTGAAAAACAAAACTTTGCAAAAAAAAAACTTTTTTATCGCAAGCGTTATTTTTTTTCACTTAAGACGGGATGTTGAGATATTTTCATGTTGCTTCAAACTAATTACTTTCAATTATTACAGGATTGAAAAAAAAAACGAAAAAAAGATACGACAAACGACGAGAAAAATAGATACCTATAACACATGCCACAAATTTCAAAATTAGCCAGGAAATAATCCTAAAAATGAACTTCCACGAAAAACTGAAAAGTTGCTCTTTACATTGTTCACCACATATTTCTTTACCACAGTTACCGCATTTTCAAGTCATATGTTTCTGTAGATACCCATAAAACTAAAAACTCATGTAATTGAAACAAAAAAAACTACACAATTTCTATTACTCAAAAGGCTTTAAAATTAAACTGAAACTACAATTTGACACCCAAAATATTAAAAAATTGTCCAAACGACATAAAAACTTGAAAAAATGAACTTGGAAAAAAGTCAATGAATTAAGGGAAAAAACGTTCAAACTTTCGAACAAAATAGACTGCTCTGTAATCATGTTCTTGTTGTTTGATCCATTTTATACTTTCCTCTAAATTTAAACTTACACTTTCATTTGTGGAATCATTTTTCGTAATGTCAGACTAATCTGAAAAAAAAACATGATTGCTGAGAAATCTATTTTGTTCGAGTTAGAATTCTCTGCAATGATGTTCTTTAATGTTTTCTAATGAATATTTCCCTCTATAGATTCCTAGTTATAATTTGGTTTGCAGTATCACTTTTTGTATCACTTGGATCGCCATTTTCGAGCTACAGAATCTTCACCAGTTTTAGCTGCTTCACTTACCCTTGTTTTCTCAGCTGATATGCAGAAGATGTTGGAGTATTAGATATGCGAACGACTTAAAGATATTGCGCGAATCAATGATAAGTAATCTATGACTCATCAGTGTAAATTAGAACTGCTGTAGTATTTTGCAACACAGAGACGAGACTGTGCTTCGCATCACTTGCGATACAAAACAAAAATAGCACAGAAAAAAAAATGTAGTGAAAAAAAGGCCAAAAAAACGAGATTTACAAAAATTTTCAAAAGCTTTTCTCTATTCGTATCGAAAAAAAATCTTCGTGAGAAAAACATGCCAAACCAAATGATTGAAACTTGAATTAACTTCAAAAAAAACTTACCGAGGCGGTAACAAGCCGGTTAATACCAAATTTTCAAAGCCCTTCAAAACAGACAGACACACACACACATGAAACTTTTTGCGCTCGTCAACCAAAACAATGTCAGACCACTACACCGATGTAAAATAAGCTGAACTTTTCAAACCGAATAACAAATAGAAAATAGTAAAAACGATATAATGAAATTATACCAAATGAGAGTTGGTAAATTAACAACTAATACAAGTAAAAAGCATGTTTCGAATACAAGGTGTGCTCAACATATGAACCACACCAACAACAATACAATTTTGAGAAACTGATTCAGCTTTTTTCTAGGAAAAATTCTTTAACTGGAAAAAACCTATGTTCCCATTGGATAACGCTTGTTAATCGCAAGCAGGAAAAAATTTGGAGATGCAAAATTTAAATTAGAAAGACATCGAATCAGTGGTCAAGCACTGAAAATTTCAAAATTGTCTTCATCAAATTTTACAGATATACATTGCTAAGAACTGCTGTAACAATTGTGATGCAATACCTATTCGCACTGCGACATCATTTCCGACGCTTTCGGACGCTAAAAAAACTGTTAAAACCAAATCAAGTTATTACACATAGGCTAAACGGAGTTTCGCATCACTTGCGATACATTTCAGGCGTAGTATAACAATCTAGAGAATATGGAAAAAACTGAGACGGAAACAACTAACTCTAAGTTGAAAAGGTATATTTGTTAGTATTTACCGAGTGGCACCAAGTCGAAAATAAGTGTTAGATGCCCACTGAACCGAAAACAGTTCAAAAATGCCATACGAAATTGTCAAAATTTTCTGAGCAAAAATGTTTTTGAAATTTGAATTTTTACATCTCAAATTACCTGATTTATAAAACATTTTGTTCTTCAAACGACACACAGTACTCAAAACAAGACCATCGGGTGCAACGGCAATCGCGTTACCTTTAACTATGTGGGAAGGCGTCTGGAAGTTTTTTGAGGTCAAATAAGCAAGTCCAATTTCTTACAGATTTATAAATAAAAATCTAGTTCCCTGTTACAAGACACTTGCTCATG